AAATTATTATGATCGAAAATCAATGACAAAGAAAACTGACAAAATCAGCAGTTGCTTTTTTTTCCAAATTGGGGGGCGTTGCTGGTTCTGGACGCAATTGTTTAGCCTGGGAGGATTGGCGAAAAAAAATGCTTTTACATGGCTCGTTGCGAGTATTTATAGCGAGAGCAACGCACAAATGTGTAAGGCAGATAAAACGTGCTTATGAAAGGGTCGAAAAGGCCATAAAGATAGTTTATGCCGTTTACATGTGCCACACCAAAGCTGCCACACTCGCCAATGAATGAATCAACGCTGCCAGCCTGTGGCAAATAAAGCCACTGGACACAAGCGATAGAAAGCAGCTTGAAATAGGGGGCATGTCTGAAGTGTCCTGAAAGTTTTGTTTACTTAGTTGCCGGCCCAAACAAGGAAGTCATTTAACCCATATAAGGGGCACAAAAAAAAACCATAAACTTGTCTCTGACACGTGCAAATGCTGGCCAGCTTGTGCCTCTATAAAGTATAAAGGCTTTAACACGCCAGCCTTTTTAAATTAAGCCGGCAAGCTGGCTCGGCCAACAACTGTGTTGGCAAAAGGAACAACAACAACCATAAACATGTTGACAAATTTCTTATGCGGCTTATGCGAACACGAGGAAAAATGTAGCTATTTACATGTTTGGCAAAATTTAAATACCCTTAAATATAAGCCAAGAATTTGAACTCAAAAAAAACAACATGCTTTAAAAATTTAATAGTTATCTTGATAAGTACATACTAAAAAGTTCTTGTATATAAAAATAACAAAAAAATAAAATACAAAATGTATAACAAAGAGAGAATCACAACACACTTCATGAGTCAGTCATAATGCCCACTGCGCGTGTATAAAAATCCACAAAGTACTATTTTAAGAAGTTTGACACAGGAAAAAGAAATGTGTACGCAGAAGAAGGCAACCGAGCAGCAGCTGCGTTTGATGTGCTTGCCCCTGCCACACAGTGGTGGAGGAGAGCGGAAGTGCATTCTGCTGCTATTGCCACAATTTTACTGTTATTTCGTTGGCTCGAAGGTATAAACTTTCAGCGAAATGCAGCAGTTGCGACCAGTTGCGAAGAGGAAAAATACCGAAGTGGACATTTCAAGGATTCCTTGTGTTTGACTATGACATTATTAACTTTACGACTTACAAATCATGCTTTGAGTATACTTAAAAATTGTATAATTTTGTCATAATATTTCGTAGATATTATTTTTTATTATTTTTTGGTTACAAAGCACAATAACAAATTATACTTTACAATACGTCTTCTTAAGTTTTATTAACTTTGTGCTAAAATATTATACACTTACTTATTTGCTAAAAAAAAATCAAGAAAATTAAAGTAATTCTCTTTTTCCAGAAATTTTCCCTTTTTTAAATTTAAGAACTGTAACAGGATTTCACTTGTGTCAGCATTTATTTTGTACAAACATTCAACAGCAGTTTTCAGCGGGTCTTGATATCCTCATAGCGTTTAAGGGGAGGTCTCAATAAATACAAACATATAATTAAGCCCGTTTCGACGCCGCAGATCAAAGAGTGCATAGAACGAGTGAAGGGCGTGGGACGGGAACTTATTTGCATACGGATGCCGCTATTCGGATGTTCACAAAAAACAAACAAGAGTATTTCAAGAAAGAATCCAAAAACAAATAGAAGTTGCAGCTGATGCCGCCCCTAATGCCCGATGCATATTGAGCTTTCAAGTGGCGAACAAGTGCCATAAAATTGCAAAAGCAGCACGGAAACTGTAGTTAAATGACTGTTTGATATTATGCGATTCCGATAATTATTCTTAGCACGTTTTTCATATTACCGCAAAGCAAACAATTCACTGGGTCAAGTACTTAAATATATTGGAAGAGTGTATTTGCCATTCTGTGGCAAGCTTGTAAAACTTTATGACTGAATTTGATAGGCGTTGAAGTGAGCTGCAGCATTTGCAAGTGGAATAATAGATTCAAGTATATCTAAAAATCTTGGTGAATGAAATACTGACAATATTATTACCATCCCACCTCTAAATAATAAAAAATAACTTTACAAAGTTTGTATACAACAATTATAGAATTTGTATTAAATAATCAGCGACTAGAGTATACTATCATCAAACAATAACAAGTAGAGCCCATTACAAATTTAAATTCCCAACCAATATTCCGTAATGGTAACTTGGGGAAAACATTGCAAACGGCTTTATGGCTTGTTACATTTAATGGGCTTAAAACCATGAAGCGCACAATAAAAAACAGCACATAAAATACGTTGTCAACAATTGGACAACAACAAGAACTGAAACTGAATCCACACAACAACAATTTCTTCGTAGTTTCAAGTATTTCAACTCTCAAAAAATAAATTAGCAAAATAAAAGAAAACAGAATAACAAATGGAGAGAGGCAAAAAAAAAAAAAAAAAGGAAATGGCCAAACAAAACTTGTGCTGCAGGCGATTTCATTTGACTTTTGTGAGCTCGTCTCACATTTTTGCAACTGCATGTTTTGCATGACAAAGCAAAAATAGCTGCCATGCCCACACTGCCACACGAGCAAACAAAACGTGCACTTGCAACCAGTTGATTGCAAATTAACCCGCGCACTGCCGTTTAAAATGTACACCCACATGACCACGCCCCATTTTTGATAAAAGCGCTAAAACTGCTCACACACATTATGGTTTATAGTGAATGGAAAAAGTTAAATGAAACTATCTGCCATTATTAATTTTTGTTTGGAATTTTTGGTTTATGGTTTTGGCATTTAAATTAACTTCCACCACATCGAAATAAATTTGTATTTAATTTTGAGACTAGTTTTTTTTTTGGGGCTTAGCGCAAAACTCAACATACTTGACTCACTTTCGCTAGATCTACGAATTGATTACCTTACATAACAATAATATAAATTGCAAATAATATAAAAACACACGAATCTAGAATATTTATTCTATAGACTGCAATAAAATCCACCCAATCTATAATGCGAATCTAAATGGCTGGAATAAGGATGTTTTATGCGTGAAAACGACTGAATTAATCTCCTTAAGTATTTTCCCACGCCTGAACAAGCGACACTCAATCATAAAATAGTGTCCACAAAAGCCATTAAACGGAAATGCAATCAATCTATAGACATTAAAAATTATGTGCTGGCGAGTAATTCGCACAAAATGGTTGGCAATCATTTTGGGCAATGCTTTTGCAAAGAACCGCAAATAAAAATGAGCAGATAAGTTCCTCAAGGCAAACCTGCCAAAAGCCAGGCGGACAACATTCGACCACTTTCGCCAACTACATTTTTTTACGATTGCCGCACAAGTTTTGGCAGTGCACGCAAAGTAAATGGGGAAAGTAAAAGCATTTCAATAAAAAATTAAATAAAAAACGCCGCCCAGTTTTCACCCACTCAATCCTTTCGCTGGCATACCGAAAATCCAGCTGTCTTTCTCTACGTAACAGTTTAGTCGTCATTTTACTGCTAGACTGCTGTTAATCCAAAAGGCATGTAACATAAACATTTTGCATCTGCATGTTATTCTTAATACCCTGTACCCCTAAGAACGGGTTGTATTGAAAAAGACACTTCAAGTTCCAACTAACTTTGATTTTTGGAACATGCATATGCTGGAAATAATGAATAATGATCCCAATAGTAATTCAATATTCAATAGTTAACTACTATTCAGATGAATTTACAGGGTAAGTTTTAGTCGATTTTCTAATGTGATATATTCTTTTTATACTTTTTATTTGATATTTACATTTGGTTCGCATTCATGAAGGACACATAACCATGACGATGGTTTAGTATATGTTGTAGAAAGTTTTATGCAAGTGTTTTTGCTTATTTCATATTTGCTTTCATATTTATTTACGAGTTTTTTTTGTTTTTTATTGGTTGACGTGGTAGAAACCACGTGGACACACACATGTATATATACACACTTAAAGTTGTGGACAGAATGTGGCAAAAGCTGCAACTGCCTTTATTTTTGCTGACTTGCTTTTTCACCTCACAACTTTCGGATGAGTTTGAGGGTTGGGTACAAAATAAATATTTCAACAATTTATTTATACATTTGCTCTCACATTACATTTGGCTGAAATGATAAGTGAGCATTTATTTTTGGGTTCATGATATAAATTTGACGAACATATGATGTTAAGTATACATCATATAGAAATTTTCTTAGCTTTTAGCTTTTAATATTCTTAAATAATGGGACTACAATCATTCTTATTCTTTCAACCCAATCATAAACTACTGAAGAGTTCAATTAAATTAAATGATTAGTTTACACGTTACCAGCATTCAAATGCCAGCCAGTTTAATGTAATTATGTAGAGTTTGTTAAAGCTGAACAGGTGCACGAGCTGTAATTACAGTAAGAACTCATATTAGATGACAGAGCAGTAGACACACAAATTAAACCAACAAAAAAAAATGGCAAGGGCGTAAATAGACAATTCATTTAACTAATTAAATATGTATAATTACGGATGGAATGTCCTTAATGCCGACTAGGACATTTTGCCGTCGTCGACGACAATTACTATTATTATTTCTTTGCTTTGTGTTGGGAAAAGTTAAGCGTTGGAATTACTTATTAAAAGAGCATTATGTGCAAACTTGACTAATGCCTAACTGACGACTCTCTCTGTCTATCTCTCTTTCTCTATCTCTTTCTCACTTTCTCTTTCTCACTTTCTCTTGCTGTTTCTTTCAGCAGCTACACAGTGGCAAATGCAAAACAACAATGAAATGCATGCTCAATGCAGGAAAGTGGCGCAGGAACCAGCTAACGCTGGCCGCAAGACATGTCGACAGCAATTGCCAGGGGCAACAACATAAGCCACAGCAGCCACAGCATCAGCAACAAGTTGCTGGCAGTCATGTAGGAGCAACAAAACAACGTCTACTGTTGTTGCTGATGTTGCTGTTGACAACTGAATGTGTGAATGCAACAACAACGCCAGCAACATCAGCAGCAGCAACAACAACGCAATCAACTGGCACAGCAACAACAAATACAACACTAACAACAGCAGCAGCAGTAGGAGCAGCAGCAGCAACATCGTCATCTGCAACATCCGTATCATTACCAGCCCAAGGCAATCCATTTAAAAACATTGTACGAATCGGTGATGGCAACATCGTCACACGTGTAAGTAGTGCTCACAGCGAGGCAACGAGGTGGCAAGCTTAATTCGATTGAGCCAATCTTTAAACTGATCAACTGAGCAACGTTACTGATTACTAAAAAAAGATGGATGAAAAGAAAGAACTTGAAATTTGAAGAAACTTTCGGACTGAACTTCTGACAAAAAATATTAAATATCTTACAATATAAAGTTCAAGCTGGAAATTTGGTTAATTATTTTGGCTTTATGAAAATATCCTTCTATATCAATGAAGAAACACCATTTCTATATATAGATGGTTATTTAGATGTATATATCAATATATAATTCAGAAAATCAGGAGCACACCTCTTTCTAAGTGAGCTGTTCTTGTGTTCTATATTAAGTGCTGCAGCTTAAATAAACGCCCATGTGTCAGCACCTTTCAACAGTTTGTAGGCGTGGCAGCTGTTAAATGCGGCAACGTAATTGAATTGCGTTGGAAATTGCACATCGCTTAGCTGCATATTACATGAAACTTAGTAAGCACTCGATGCATGCAACCATTTGAGGCAGCTGCTACTCAAGTGGCAGCTTAATTCCTCAAGTACAATTGCTGCTTAATCGCAGAGCTGAAAAGCCTGCGGTGGCTATTGAAAACGCTTACGTATTTCCCCTTTGCAAACTTCAGCAATTTAATCAGATTAAACGCTTAGAAATTCGCAATGGATTCGAGCAGATATGAGTTGTAGCAAGGAGTACTTGAATGAAGTACCAATATGACAACTGAGAAATAAAAATTAAATTAAATCACTTCTTTTTTTTTGATATTTATAGTTTATTTTATTTAAAAATTTGACCGAAATTTCAATAGATTTCTATTAAATTGTAGTTAATTAAAGTGATTCAGCAGCCGCATTTTACCAATGAACGACCCTTGGGAATGGCCAGCAATACAATTTTAATTTTCTTTCCCTAAGTACTTAAGAGATCATCATGGAAAAACAAAAGAAAAACAATAAAATGCTGGGCCACGTTTATCCATTTGGCCCTAATAATGGGTCAGCAAGCGAATTAAAGCCAGCCCGCTTTTGGGCAACTTTTAGGCGAATAGTAGAGCAAAGTGAGGCTAAATAACTCAATTTTCCACTCAAACGATAAAATGCGACGCTGACAAGGTAGAAAAAGGCTGACTGAAATTAGGGGTTGCTTTCGGCCATGAATGTATTTAGCCAAAATTTATTTTTAATACGTTTGTCAACATGTTGACCAAGCAAATGATTTGGGTACGCTTCTGCCAACATTTTGTCCAACAGTCAAACAGGCAGGCGGCAGTTGGTCCCTGCAGGCATTTATAAATACCTTTTATGAATAGATCTCTGATTTTTCCTCTATTTATTTTGCAGACGGCCATTGAGCAATCGCTGGTAACGATACATGACATTGCCACCGAGAATCTGGGCACACTGTGCATCTCAACGCTTTATCGACCGCTTCAAGTGCCCATCAACTCGGAACGATTCGAGAGCACCAGACAAAAGGCAGATTTGGCGGCATCAATACTCCAGGAAGTGGGCATCATACGACATGGCGGTAAGTTCTCCAACAATCCCAAAATACATATATGTTTGTCTGTATTTTTGGCTGTACTTATTCTATTGTATATGTATGTCACACGTTGTGGCTCCGTTTTGAGTAATTGATATATTGATTTATGTTGCCCATCTTATTTACCAAGCGTGTATCTAGTTAAAATCATTTCCGTCTCTTGTAAATTGTGTGCTGTGATATGTGAGCATTGATAAGGCTTAACAAGTAAGAATTCTCTAGGCCAGACAGATCGACTAAGTGATGCCCTGAGCCCTGAGCCGTTCTCTTATAGACATATTCTCAAACCCGAAACTAAAATTACCCTCAACACCTGATTTATGAAAAATTGTTCTTGTTTACAAAATCTGTGTTTTTATCTGCTCTTAATTTTTACTGTTGATTAAGAAAGATAAATTTATGAATTGGAATGCCATATTAATTGGTTCTTTTATTTCAATCGCAAATCGATTTCTATCGATTTTAACGAAAGTTATCGATAAAACGAAGTAAATTTGATCTGTGAGTGGTATGCAAGAACTTATATTCCCTAATTTGCAGAGTCTGACTCTTATAGTCTATGATATCGACTACTTAATAGAGAAGGACAGCTCGGCTATTGATCCTTATCAGGAACCATTGAAACCAACTTTTTTTTATTAATATGTGCTCGTGTCACATTCCTGAATGTGTTAGTGGCTTTGTCGGAATACGATAAAATTAAAGAATCCATCTGTATTTTAAATATACACAAACACAAGACAAAGGTTAAGCTTTATTTTGAAGCCCTTTGCTTGACTCACATAAATTGACAGCAGAGTTATTTTCAGGCAGGCGCTTCTCAATCAAAGCATTTAAGGGCAGCCAAGCAATTGATATCCTTTCGGGTGCCAGATGGTGAGAGCCTTCATCTCTTAAGAAATTGGCTTAAGTTTATACGATTTGTGAGAAGCTTTTTTGCGCCCCCGAATAATTTATGCAAGACATCAAAATTTCAAGGATCCCACAGCGCCAACAGATACGACAGCAAGTGCCAAATTCTATACATCATTTACATACATATGTATGTATATACTCTTACATACACACGTATATATTCTACACATATATGAGACGTCCTGTTGCTTACCGGAACAACAGCTACAACAACAACCAACTATAAAACTGACAGCAAATTTGCTTTCACTTTATGCGATTTTTGCTGACACGTCGCACCTTTTCAGAGCTGATGTGGTATGGGAGTTTCAGCGCACAAATCATTTGCTTGTCCAGGACACAAAAGCAACTGGTGCGCCTTAACACTGAACAACCCAGTTACTCCACTTGTTATTATCCTGGGCCCGAATCGACTCAGTGCGATGAGTTCATTGTGCGTCTGTTGTCCTTGACTACATTTTTACAAGTATATATATATATATATATATATATATATGTAATACAGAGGAAAAATAAATCTTAGCCCACTCCAATTCAGAAAACAAAAATTTAAAAACAATAATAAAATCCGAATCCATTATTTTCTTGGTTATTTTTAATTGGAAACTATTACTTGATATTTTTAAATACAGATATACAGAGAGAAAATATATCAAGTTGTTCTTACTCTCAACCCACAAAAATTTCTAACTTTAAACACCTTTAAGACTAAAAGTAAAAAAAAAATTAAGAGAAAAAATAACATAATAATTTATATAAAATATAAAATATTTTGCTGTTATGCATTAATTCTTGGCACAAACATTGTGTAATATCAAGCATGCTTTTTTTTCTGTGTGCATCCACATATACATGAAACAGAGCTGGCACTGGCTCCGTTTGCTGTCAAGGCTGCTGTTCTTCCCTTGACTGGGACTGATTTGCGGACTGCGACTTTCGGTTTGCGGGTTGCGAGCTGGGGTTGGACTTGGATATAGTTGCGCTGAAGCGCTCGGCATGACAGCGTGTCGTCTACCACTGGGGTTGACAACGACGCACTTGTGGCACATCAGAAACCTCCAGGCTCCGCCGTCCCCTTCGCTATCTATGCTATGCATGCAGCAGGTCCTTTTCCCACATTACATCGTATTTTTAATTTAAAGTTGTGCGTTGTTATTTGTAACATTCAAGCTGTATCCATCTCTGATTTTCGCAGTGCTTAATATGACCCAATCATGCTGTTGTTACATGATATGCAAGCGAACGTATGCTGATTTCCATTAAATCAGTTGCCAATTATTGTGTGAACAACAAGCATACGCATCGTTGTACAGCGACACACACATGTCAGACAGAAAACTTTTTATACACTGTCTTCTATATACAACATGATGATGGTAGATAATTCTGTATGGAAGTTACCAGTAATTAGTTACATCAACAAGTGAAAAACTGATTTCACAGAAATCGCAGTGAAAAACTTTTTAATAATTATGCAAAATATGTAAACATATTTCTTATTATTATTTTTGTATTGTCAAATATATAAAGTTTATGATGTTATTATTAATGGTGGAACAAAGGAACGTTTCAAATACACAGTCGAGTGAAATTCCAACACTGTAAAAAAAAATAAACAACTGGCATTGTGGTCCAAGTTAAATTGCTTTTGGTTCAGACGAATCTCTGGCAAATTTAATTACCCAACAAGAGCAGCAGACACACAAAAAGTCAGCAGCCATAAAAGCAGGGCACACACCTGCAAAAATAATCCAACACACCCACTCACTTACATTATATATGTGCATATGACAACCATGTCTGTGTATGTGTGTGTGTGTGTGTTAAATAAATGCCAATTTTACATAGTAGAAGCGACGTTGAACTGAGCAAAAGTTTCTCATGGCAGCAAAATAAAAAAAACAAATTGGCTACAATTGTGCAAGTTGCGCATGTTTATTTCTGACATCTACACAAAAAGCACTTTCAAGGGACCTACACACCTACACGAACCCTCTCCTCCTCAACGGCCATAAATTCCGAAGCTGGGAACCCCAAAAAGATTGATGATGTGAACCGAGTGCAAGAAATCGCACGCAGATGATGAATGAGAAACATGACTATAAAGTACACTAAAAAACATATATATATATATCAAGGAAAATATGTACAAAATATATCAAATGTTTGAAAAATTCAAATATACTCAATACAATATTCAATACTTACTTTAATTATGTTTAGACTTACTCGTTTTGAGAAGAATAGTTATACTAAAAAACAGGAATTTCTTTTTTACTTTTGACTTTACGAACTATTTGCTTCTTTCAAGATAAAAATAAATTTATCTAGAACAAATCCTTAAATTCTAAATTTTAAATTATAAACAATAGAAATGCTGCATTAATCTGAGCTTTTTTTCTCAGTGTACATACACAATAACTATATGCGTGTGTGTTTGTTAGGTGAGCATCTAAGCTGAATGACAGGCCTCGGCTAATGTTGTTTACCATAAGGTTCCAGCCTCTCATCAACCTGCCACCCCCTTCGGTTTGACAGACCCAACTTGCCCTTCAGTTAAAGACATTCACAGCCGTCGGCCGTATTGTGGCAAATGTTTGAGCTTGTGGCAACACTTTGACGCACTGTGACTTGTGTGTGTTTAGTATGTGACGACAGCCCTTCACGGTTGCCCCATTGGGCCTCTTCGATGCCATTTTGCTCCAACGCCCACGAACAAACTTGCCACATTAGCTGCCGGCTGCGTATTTGCTTTATGCCTGCGACAAAGCAAAAACAACTCTAAAATAGCATGCAGCAAAGTTGGCAAACATTACACATACTAATGTAAATATATATAAAATACGAAAGAAAAGCAATCTTCCGAGAGACGAAACCTAAAGACCCTTCAATAAATCAAATTGCTCCCAAGACACATTTTTGTCCGATATGTAATCCCATTTTTAGACCATCGCACAGTACAAATGCAAAACTAAAATTTGACTTCTAAACTGGGGGAGTAATGTGACAAAATAATAATAATAAGTGAAAGGCATTATTACAGTTTCTTTGAGGTATATCTTAAAATATGACCAGTCAAGACATTTGAATGGTTAATTGAAAAGGAAATTTACTTATATAGAAGGAGCCCATATTCTTTACAAACAGATAAAAACCCATTAATAGTTTGAATTTGAAATACAATATAGAATTAGCGTTACACATTTCCTGCCATGAAAATAATACCCTTTCAAAGAGAGAACATAAGAAAGGAATTGCCACGGAAGTTGCGCTAATCGAATTTAAATAAGTTTACTTTGCAAACAGTTGTTGCTTTTGTACCTCGGCTCCCTACGCTCCTTACGCTCCGTGGCAAGCCAAACAGAAATGTGGCCGCTTAGCCGAGTGTGGCACAAAAAATATTAACTTTTGACAGGCACAGCCCACAACACACAAGGGGGTTGGTGTAGCTGGTTGTAGCTGGCACCCGTCGCGCATATTAATCATTGTTGCCGGAGCTGCCGTTTTCATTCATGTTTTCCTTTTTTAATCCAACAAGGGTAAAAGAAAAAAACCACTTGCAGCCTCTTTGTGGCACTTTTCCAAAGGAAGAAAAAAACTATTTCAAGGTCGCCAATGACAGCTGGGCTGGAATTAAATGTGCCAGCAAATTTTTAATCTGCTGCAAACGGAGCTGGAACATTAAATTTATGAATTTAATTGTACATATTTGTCTGTGTGTGTGTAAATAAATAAATTTAATTGTTATTTTGATATACAATTAAAAACAAACACGCAGCTGGACACTACTGGGGATAAAACGTTTAACACACACTGTTATTGTCACCACTGGCTTCAATTAAAAACGTGCCACACAATATGAAAATATATAAAATAAGCACAGTTTTGTTGGTAAAAATGGAAATTGGAAAGCATCTGCCAATTTGCAGATTTTTCGACTATTGTTGTTATTCAATTATGCAAATTGTTATCGATAGTGCATACAATAAAAAACACAATGAAACTGAATGTTTAAAGCAATTTGATTTGTTTGTTAGTAACTAATAGTATACCGATTTTACTTAAGTGGCAAATAGCAATTAGCAATATTTGCCGCTGACTCAACGAAACGAAGTGAAAACTGTGTAATTAAAGTGATAATTAGTCAATATGCACCGGCGAGCTGCACTGTCGAATCTCAACATTTATTGCGCTACATGAATTAATGAAATGCAAAGTGCCAGGGTAACAAATTAAACGTTAAAAGTAAAAATTTAATGAGTGTGTCTTGTCTGCTGTCTGTTTGATATCCGCCCGTATCACGCTTTTCGTTTCCCATTTAATTTCCGCCATTTTTCACAGCACGTAATTATTAAATACCTTTCTTTCACCTGCAGGCTGACCTACATTCTCGATTTATGTACACACATTTAATTTTCGTGTAAAATACTACATTTTTTATAGGTCTCTCTGATGCGCTGGCCAAGGGCTTGCTCACCGATGAATACATAAATGGTGCACGCATTTTAGCTTTGAACTTAACCAACGGCGCAGTCCAGTCCTACGTCTGGTGGGTCAAGAGTGGTCACGATAAACTTGGAGAGACGCAGCGCTACGAGGAGGATGGCCTACAAATTGGCAAAAAGCCTGCACCCAGCTATCCCTGGTAAGGACACCAACTGAGCGCCTGGCAGCGTAAATTACAAGAGAACTCCTACGAAACTAGTTTACACACTGATCCCAAGGGTAGCAGGGCATATTCTAATTCCATATGTCTATTTTCGATGCTATTAAAGCTAAAGACCTCAAACATGAAATATATTTATACCTTGGCATGTTCTAAAATTCAATTTCAACTAAATTTGGAAACCGTTTTTAAAAGTATTTAAATTATTTTCTTAAAAGAATTTTGAATGAAACTTCAAAGCAGCATCAATAAAGCTTTGCTTCACAATCAGTCTACACTTTGCTACCTTACAGATGGGTTTAAAAACAATTTATCAATTTAAACTATCAAATTTGTAGCATAATCTTCTGAAGCCTGAGAACCGGTGAAGGCATGATCCACCAGATCTTAGCTTGTTTTACTTTGGTATCAGAGTATTTCTGCAGTCGGCTACATCCGACTGCAATCATTTTAAAAGTTTTATTTACTTTATTTTTTATTTATTTTGTTTGGTTTTGCAGGTTTGAGGACGAGAGCAGTACACCAACACTGCGCTCACCAAAGTTTGCGCCCAGCCCGCCGAATAACTACTACAAAGGGCTGGTGGACATACCCGTACTTCTCCTGTGCGCTTAGCAAGTGGCTCGTCTCGTATAGCATCGCCATACCGCCCAGCGGACGGCATGGATTGCGCGGCTTCATCAGTGTCGACATCGATGTGACCACGCTGCGCGTCAATCAGTGCGATGCGACGCCCTATCGCTTCAGCAGCCAGCAGCTATTGCTGCGCCAGAGGCAGCAGGCGCGACGCTCCACAGTCGCGGCAATTAACAATGATGTGGATACCATAAATGATTTGCAGGCCTTTCACAGTTCACACAAATGCCATCGCGCCTCCATGGTGGTAAGTTTGGAGCACTCAATTAAAGCACTTCTTTAAGAGGTTATTTTAATTGCGTTAGGCGATGTGTAAGCCATTAAAGAAGACTGCTGCTAAAAGAGTGTCGACCACTTACATATATAGTATATATTCTTAGTCAGCATCACCCGACATTTTAATAAAACCAACCTTTCTGTCTTACCACTACTACTCATAAATAGTTGATAGATGGCTTTTTATCCTATTAGAATTACTCAGATATAAGGATCATAACAGAGCTATATATATAAAATTATTGCATTTAATGGAATTATAGATAAAATGTATTTCTGTTTTTGAATAAACCCTTTTGTTGTTTATTGTTTAGTAACATATATATATATATTTTGTCAAAAGCGAAAGACTTAATTAAACCCTAGTGTCTTTTCCTGATTTTTGCTACTGTGGCATATAATTAGTTTTAATGATAACAATAGCATTAGAATTTTGTCTAACAGATGGACTAGATGTAGGAATATTAAATTTTTTTAAGCAGTCGTTGAATGATTTTAATTGTCTTGTGTTTGACTGCAGTGCGACTATCGTCAGCCCAGCGCGGAGGCGCCGACAATAAGCAGTGGAAAGATCTTGGCATCGATATCCAGCAGCAGCAGTTGGTCACGTGGAGCGTATCAGTGTCTGTGCAAACGTGGCTTTTATTCGCTGCGGCATCCTGATGGCTTCAATGGCACCATTATGGAGATTGCCTGGCAGGAGCATCAGGATAATATAAGCAATTACTATACGGATGTATTCAAATGTTTGCAATGCGCCGCCGGCTGTGACACTTGCACCGGTCCCGAGCCCTGTCTGGCCAACTATCATTGGCCCTTCAGGTGCGTCTGGGCAAACTTCTTTGAATTCTATTTTGTATTACATTTTATTTTTTATTGTAGAATATCGCTGCTGACAATTTCAATTGGTTGCGCCTGCGGCACCTTTGGGCTTTTATGCTATCTATTTCGTCATCGTCGCGTCAAAGTCTTTAAGGTGGCCAGCCCAATATTTCTGATGATCACGCTCATTGGATGTGCTATCATGTATCTGGAGGTGAGTGTTGTTAACCCTTCTCTCAAGCTCTCTGTCTCTCAACACTACTCCGTCGGCAACAACTTAACCCATTAAATGTGCCAGCGACACAAAAAGACCATTACGAGTGAATGAGACGACAATGGCAAATGGCAGAGTGGTAGTGGTTACTAATGTGACAAAAGGTCTCATTTACAATTGACCCACATGTTACACAGCACCCCAATCCCCGACCCGAGCTAGTGGTTACCCACGTGCGTCATGCGCAACATAAAACTCCTTTTTATGTGTTTTTAAATGCGGCTTTTAGTAACTTGCTTCTGTATCGGCATATCAACTTTCTGAAATCAGTTTGCTACAACTGAACATATAAAGCACGTTTACTTTAGACTACAATTTTAAAGATTTAAATGCTGTGCTAATATTACAATCAAGTAACTAATATTCTACATTAATTATGATAAATTCCTAACACAATTGTATTCATAATGAACATCAATCTTAACTCTCAATAACAGTTTGTAAATATGGGCTTCATATTCAAATATTCCACGAACTTTATTCAACAATCTTGAGCAGTTTTCAACTCCTCCTTATTGTAGAGTATTTAAACAGTTGCTTTAAACTTTTTGCCGTATTGCTCACAATTATGCTATCAACATTAGCCAAACGAGACAATGGAAGCCCCACCGGACACATAAAAGCCGGAGACAACAATGGCAAACTTAGGAGTTGGATAAGCGACAAGAACAACAAACGGGTTAAGAGGTTTTTTAATGGCAAAGACGAGGAGCTAATAACAGCTTCGAGGGTTTCAAGCGTATCATCGTTCCTTATAAATGTAACTGATTTTCTAATCAAAGCTTGTGCTTAAAATAAAGGAGCATAAAATCTGTAAAATGAGCGATGATAAACGAAAATCGAAACGTGACGATGACTTGCCCCAGCCCAGCGTCATCGAAGAGGAGAGTGAAGACGAGGCTGCCTTGCTGGAAGCATTGCGGGAAATGGTAAAAATACCAGATATCGAACCAGAAGAGGATAAGGCACCGCTTATGTGCAATCGGGTGGAGCAAGGAAACTTACTGGTGAGACGCCAAAACCACCCAACGGAAATGCAACAAAAGTGGATCAAGACTGTTTCCAATTCGGCAACTCTATTCGAGCAGAAAACGCCAAACAGCAGCAAGAATGAAAAATTGAATAATACAAAGAAGAAGGAAAAGCCAAAGAAGCCACAGACTTTGAGTGATAATTTGAAGAGGAAGGTAACCGATGAAGCCCCGAAAGCAGACGCTGAATTTTGGTGTTAAGCTGACGAAAGCAGAATCAGATGAAACACTGAAGCAGTTGCAGACTTGGAGCGATAGGCTCAAGAACAATGAAACGATGGAAACCAGGAAGCAATATCAGCCAGTGGATGATACCACCACACAGCAGTCAGAGACATGGGAGGACAAGCAGAAGCGGACAACTGAAGATTATAATCGAAGGCAATCCGAGACCTGGGCCGAGAGGCTGAAAAGGTCAGAGACAAACAAGAAGGTCGTCTCCCAATCTGCCCCCTTTCTATCTACACAAATAACGCCTGAACAACAAGAAAAAATGCAGCGAATCATAGCTGCATCCAAGCCCAAAGTCGTACATTCAAAGCAAAAAACTATCCAGGCTACAACCGCCAAGAAGAAAAGTTGCCACCAACATCGGTGCCACAACATCAACACATCAGATTGAGGAGCATAGGGCGGATCAGAAATTGAAACACAAATCGAAACTTCAGTTAAGGAATTCACAACAATCGGGCGTCATAAACATTTTGACGGTGCCACATCGAAACCCACTCAACTCTGAGGAAGAACATGAGCAGTCGCCAAGTCACGATATGATCACACCAATTGATGATAATCTGCCCTTCTTTGGCCAAGCTAGATCAGCGCTAAAGAAGCCAGCTGCTTTGGAGTTAATCACAAAGACAGCTACGAAAACTCCTGTCGAGTTTAATCGACCAACTCCAACAAGTGGTCCAGTAACTACAAGAATTATCAGTTCACCTAGGGAGTCAACACCAGGTGCCATGCCGTTCATCGGTCCAAATGGACCTCAACAAGCAGCTGTTGATGTAATTCCCACAACGCAAAATGTTCCTGTGATTGAAGAAACTACTCCAATGTCGACAACAGCAACTGTTACAACAGAGCAGCCACTAGGATATTTTGTTAGTGATCATCCTTGGTTCAGTCAAGCTAGACCAGTCCCAAGTGAAACTCCAGCGATGGCTGATGCCTGGAATCCCCATTCAGCTAATCATGATGAAGGAGTATCAAAGGCTACCCGAATCTCTCCTAGCTCTAGCTCGACCGTTACACCAATTACTAGTGAGTCACCGATGTTTGCTCGACCCTTAACTGGGTCAGCAGGTTCAAGTGAAGAGAGCTCCACGTCGGTAAGCAGCGCGAGGGACGCGAGCACACCAGCCTCCAAGGAAGCAGCTTCTGTTTTGCGCAAGGTTGTCTCAGCCAGGTCACCCAGCACGGTTTTTAAAGCAGCTCCAATTGCCACGTCCCACGAGGAAGATGTTGAAAACGGCAGTTTGAGGAATTCCATGACAAATAATATTATGCGCTACTTTTTTAGCGATCCACCCGAAAGTGCAGTAGCTGAAGCGAAGAATGCAACTGCGGCTGGTTTAGTTACTGAAACGGTTGTAACTGTTCCAGGATTGGTAACTGGCGGCTTGGTTCATCCACTGGCCGATGGCAATCGCATGCCCAACGAGGTGATTGTTGTGCCGCCCCAGAAAAGTAAAGCTGAGCCGGATAAGGACAAGGACCACCTGGAACACTCCGAATCGATGCGCACACTGACCATTGTGGGCAAGCGATCGCACATAACGACCATCTATCGGGATCACTGCCACTTTGAGCGACATGGCGAAGGTGTGGATAAAATGGCCAAACGGAAATTGATTGTGGCCAGTGTATTGTGCCTGTGCTTTATGATCTGTGAGATAATTGGCGGAATCTTCTCACGCAGTCTCGCCATTGCCACAGATGCCGCACACCTGCTGACGGATCTTGCTGGCTTCCTGATCTCACTATTTGCCATACATCTGAGCGCTCGTCCGTCGACGCAACGCATGAATTTTGGCTGGCATCGTGCCGAGGTGATTGGCGCCATGATCTCCGTCTACTTCATCTGGGTGATAACGGGCATACTCGTCTGGTTGGCAGTGGAACGACTCATCAGCAATCAGCACGATGTGGATGCAAAGATCATGTTGATCACATCCGCATTGGCAATACTTGTCAATCTCGTCATGGCCATTCAGTTGACCCACGGACATTCACATGATGCAGGCCGGGCACAGCGACAGCCTCGTTTTCCTGTGCCAGCGAGCACGTCCAAGGCGAGTGCTTTGAATGCCACTCACGGAGAGCCACAATTGATGCCCGCTTCGGTATCTCAGTATGCCCATGCACCGAAGGATAACATCAATGTGAGGGCGGCGATAATTCATGTCTTTGGCGATATGATTCAAAGTGTTGGCGTCTTTGTGGCCGCTTGCATTATCTTCTTTAAGCCCGAATGGTCATTTGTCGACTCCATCTGCACGTTTATTTTCTCGATTATTGTGCTCCTGGTCACGTTTCGCATACTGCGCGATGTCCTGATGGTACTCATGGAAGCCACCCCCGACTATATGGACTATGGTGAGGTGCAGCGAACATTTCTCAGCATTCAGGGTGTTGAGCATGTTCACAATTTACGGATCTGGGCGTTGAGTATTAATAAAGTGGCGCTTGCCGCTCATCTGGCCATCGGTAAGGATGCTGATCCCCAGATCATACTGGATCAGGCAACAACATTGATTCACAAGCATTACAATTTCTTTGAGACCACCATTCAGATTGAGGGCTATACGGCGGGCATGGAGGATTGTAAACAATGCTTGACGCCTGGCAAATCACAGCCAAACGATAAAAATGATAATGAAAATGGAGATGAAAACAATAAGAAAATGCAGGAAAACACAAAAAATGGCAATCAATACTCTGCCTAAGAATGGATGCAATGCATCAGTTGAAACCGCAATAGTTATGTGTTTTGTAAGATATTTAAAAAAAAATAAAGAAATCATCGAAATCTATCCACAAGAATAATTATAAGTCTTAAATTTGTGGGAAATATCAGAGACAATTTTTATGCATTAGTCAAATCAATAATTTGTGAAGCAGATGAGGAAAATTAGAGCAATAAAATCTGCAAAATAGGAATTTATTTAAAAGAAATTCCATTTAAAATAAGCTTTTCAGAGTGTTTAGTCTGCACTGAAGTCATTTTAAATAAAAATCAATTTTCGATTCATATTAAATGTGCCTGCTCTGAGTTCAGGAACATACTGTGTGCGATTTTGACCCCCTTTTCCGACTGTCAACTTCTTTTGGGGCATGTCCACTGTCAACTTAACGACTGCCGCTTTACCACTGGGATTGCGTCCATCTTAATCGCTTTGCAGAGATTTAAGTGCATTTTAAATGTGCAAAGAGTGAGAATTGTCATAGATTTAAAAGAAATTGCTTTTACGCATTTTACAGATGGTTGCCATTTTCCCGTTGCTCGACTCCGGCTGGTGCATTGCCACAAAGTGGACACGTCACATGGGCTTCTGCATTACGTACACCTCGCTGCTGATGAAGACCTGGCGGTGAGTCCATTAACTGTCACATTCAACCACTTTCATCTATCTAAACGTAATTGATTGCTTGCAGCGTATCCTTGACGTATCGCGTCAAGTCAGCCCACAAGATCAAGTTGAACGATCAGCAGCTGTTGCAGTGGATGGTTCCCATACTGCTTGTAATGCTCATCTATCTGGGCACATGGACTATTTCGGCCACGCCCATGGCGGAGGTGGTAAGTGGCACAAGCTTATAATTGGAATTTTTTGTTAACTAAGTTTATTTACAAATTTTAATTCTTTTCGTATTAACTTAAACAAGTCCCCATTTTTCACTATCATATTTTAACTTCGTCAAAACTTAACCTATTTTAAAATGCAATGCACTTTTACTCATGGCTTAATATATATTAAAGATTAAAACTACATTTAAATTTGGAAAGACTATTATCAAACGAAATTCATTTAAAGCAGTTGCATTCCAATTTTCTCAAAACTGAATCGATTTTCAAGATCAAAAATGTTTGTGGCTGGCTTAGTATTTTGATCAATTTGGAAACTTTTCATTTTAATATTATATTTTCAATTCTTTATCAAAACTTATATGATTTGGTATTACACGAAATGAATACTGCATTCCAAAATTTGAAACTTTCAATTCTTCTTTTCTGATCTAATAAATTTGTTTGTACCTTTCTCGACAGATCTACGATCAGAATCATCTGAAATTCAAGCAATGCTCGTACAACTGGTGGGATCATAGTTTGGCCATTGGCGAGGTGCTGTTCCTGGCCTGGGGCATACGGGTCTGCTACAATGTGCGCAACGCGGAGAGTCTGTACAATGAGGCACGCCTGATCTCGTATGCCATCTACAACATAGCCATCGTGAACATTGCCATGGTGGCGTTCCAGTAAGTGCGGCAAACGTCAAGATGATGCTGCCACATATATGCATATGTCGATACCATATGGCATATGCCATATATTCATCATCACACACACACAGACACATGCAGAAGTGAACGCATGCTCGGGCACGTCATGTCTATTAAAGCGTATGCCATGGCCACGCCCACAATTCCAAGAGGAGCAGCCGCCTCCACGTTGCGTTTTAATTAAATTCTTTTGCATTGTGCGCACGCTCGCTTCCGTTGTAATCCTTTTTGCCGGCCTGCAAGGACATGCTGTGCCCTTTCCTTGTCCGTCCGTTCGTCCGTCCGTCTGTCTTTGCCTGCCTGCCTGCCTGCTTGCCAGTCTGTCTGTCTGCCCGTCCATTTGTTTGCTTGCTTTCCGCATTTTGTTTACAATCGACATTCCACGGATTTCTTTGCCAAGTTCGCGTTGAGTGTGGGCTTCCGGCTTCAGGCCACGTTGCCGCCAACCAAATTGAAATCCTTTCAAGTGCTTTGATAATTAATGCAATTTGTACTTAAACTCCGCTTTCTTCATACAACTCCCAACTTGTTGCGACTTTTTGCTGATGTTATTAGCATTTGTGTTTAGTTTTTGTCGTAGGTCGTAGCTATTTTGACAGTTATTTGCAGAAGTTGCAACATAATGAGAAACCAATGAAATTTATGAGCCAAAGTTTTAACCAAATTAACTCAGAAATTACATAACAAAGTTCTCTCAAGTCTTAATTGTAATTTATTTCTTTTACAAAAACAGCGTAATGCTCTTCCCACATGCTGGACCCGATTACAAATACATGTTGGGCTTTGTGCGCACCCAGCTGTCGACGACGACGACGATTGCTTTGGTCTTTGGTCCGAAGGTGGCGCGGGTCTTCAAGGGTCAGGGCGATAAATGGGATCAGAAGGCCAAGGTGCGCAGCATAACCGCATCCTTTTCGCTCAATGGCGTTGGCCTGGTGCCTGAGGAGTCGCCCGATCTATATCAGGAGAATGAGGAACTCAAGGTATCCACTAATCAGATACATTCATATATAACCACAGCTAACTGAATAATATGTTTTTGTGCAGGAACAAATCCAAAAGCTGGCGCATCAAATCGAGTTCATGAAGACTGTTCACATGCAGATGAACAATCGGCATCTAAAGCCAAAGCCTGGTGGATATTTTACCATCACATCGACCTCATTCCAGGCGCCCTACAGCAAGAGCACTGTTTCCACGGCACAAACGCAAACCGGCAAGGACGAAGCCAGCGGGTAACTACCTAATAAAGAGCCCCATTCAAAATACCCTTGCACATACATAAATGGGGAATATACGACTTTTATTGTTGATCTTAGTCATGCAAATCCTTTCCAACTTTAGTATTATCCTTCCTATAAAACATAGTAGTCAGATAGCTATTCCTTAATAGAGTTGGAATTTGTTCTGCTAAGGATACTTCTCAAGTTGTAGATACTAATTATGAATCAAATGATGATATCAAACCCCAATTTTAATGTCTGCATTATAATATAACTTATCCTTAAAGATATACATATATATATGCATTTGATATATTTATCCGATCTCAAAAACTGTCTGACGTATTTGAAAATAGAGCTTTACTGAGAGACTAGCTTAGATTGTTGTGTGTAGCCTCATCCACCCAATTGAGATTTTATTGCTGACCAAATAAGATTACCCCTCTGACAGGATATGAACACAGGGCATCCTTTTATAATTGTATTAAATGATGTAATTGTGTTTTGTTTTCATAGTGTTGCCGGCAATGCGACGCCATCGAAATGCAAATCGCCGAAGGGTAAAGTCTGACGGGGTCAACGAAGTGTTAAAGATTGCTCAATAAATGTTGTTGATGGACTTGGAGGGGTTGTAGACGACGATGCAATTGATTTTAGTTTCAGCCAACAATCGGCAGAGCAAGACCATGACGCGGAGGAGGAGGCTATGGAGGTCAAGCAGGTCAAGCAGGTGTATGGGGATGAGAAGCCGCAGCAGCTGGAGGCGGATTTATTACGGCAATTTCGTCGCCTCTTTGCGCCCATTATGAATGACAGCTTGCAGTTGTACTATGAGCTCAACGAGGATGATACGGATGTGCAGCACATTCGCATACATCGTACCGTTGCGGAGCTAAACGAGTTGACCAGCAGCGAGGAGGAAACACTGGTCACACAGCTCAATTCACCGCTGCCGCTGCAGGAGGAGGAGGAGATGGAGATGGAGCTGCCGCTGGCACCGCCACCGCCACCGCTACCACTGCCACTGTTAACGCCCAGCAGTGGCTCAATGTCATCCACATCGAGCAGCTGTTTGTATGCCATACACACGCCATCTCCGGCGCATCCTTGTGGTGGCCAGCGCCTCGAGTCGCCGCTGTCTGGGTGCACTGAACCGCTAACCATAACTGAGCAAGTGCAGTTGCATGCACCGCCGGGGCATGGACATTACAACAACAACAACAGCAGCAGCAGTAGCAATGGCCACGAGTTGGAGGATGAGCACAGCAGCAGTCACAATAACAATAACAACAACAACAACACATCCTGCTCATTATCCTCAACGCTGACGGATAGCAAAACATTGGATGGCCGCACTCCCATTGTGGTCTAGCTTGGATAACAAATAATCGATTGCTGGGCAGCTGTCGCTTTGTCTGCTTTGCATTTGTGATTTCATTTACACAGTCTAAGGAACAACAACAGCAACAACAAACAACAACAACAAACAACAACAACAACAAATCGGAAGGAAGCCGAGAACAGTAAATCGCTTAATGTTTAAACTAGTCTTAAATAATGTTTGTGTGTGTTTCTTGTGTCTCTGTCTGTCTGTCTGTCTGTCTGCCTGTCTGCCTGTGCAGTGCGCTTATGCGTGGCAATGATTCGTGATAATTTATACAGTGGTCGCTCGATAATTAGAACGCCTCAACTTCACTGTCGAAAAATACTTTATTATCTCTAATTAATTAATTACTGTATTATAGAATATTTGTAGCATAATTTTTTTATGCATCATTTACAATTTCAATGCGATCACTGTAGAAACACCCCAACGATGCGCTAGTTGTGCAATTTAGACTTAAATTAATAACATTTTCAACATTGATTTCATATTTGTATAGTTTATTATGATACTTTTCGAGTACGCTGTGTGCTTATTTCCTGTGTTTGTTCTTTTCTTAACTTTAATTATTATTTAAGATTTTTTTTATTCAACTTCTTGATCACGATCTAAGCGACGTATAAACGCATTCGCCGTGCATCTAATTCCTTAGATTATTGCCTTTCTGTTTGGCTTCGTAGACATACATATGCCCCCCAGTATTAAATTAGGTTCTCAGAAATATTTCTTGATTTCAATTCTCATCAAGCGCAAACATTGAGCAAATTTTTTTCACTTCGTTCGGATTGTGAAGGTGTAATTCGGAAGATATACTGGCCAGGGGCCAGTTAAATCTTGTAGAACGTCATATGGCACTTGGCTCATAGAGTTGTGTCCTAGGGTTTAGACATATTTTCTCTTTTATTTCTCTCATGCACCGAGCAAAAAAATAAAAAACAAAAACAAAGAAAAACAAAATGAACAATTAAATTCTTATTTCTATATATGGCACTCGATCACAGAACTTTGTTGCATTTCGGTTTAATAGTAACTAGTCAAAATTGATGTATTCATTTCAGCATAAGAATCTTCTTATATACAGTATACATTCAACTTAAGGTTAGCAAAGAGTCGATTTTAGTGTAATTGGTAATGGCAGAAAAACATTTAAAAAAATAAAATACAAATAAAATAAATAAATAAAAAATAAAAGGATTTTTGAATTTAGCGTACAATTTTTAAAATAAAACTGTTAACAGGCGCGCAATTTTCAGAAAATATTTGGGCATTACGTATTAAACAAGAAAAGAAAAAAACCTTACAACAAATTATACAATTAATTAACAGTTAAGTTAATGTAAAATTAACATATACATATTAAAATCAAAAAAGAATTGCATAAATAAATGTTACAAAACAAAACAATTTGTGGATTGTGTTTTTATGGATCGGATTTTGTTTTTATTATTGTTATATCGCTTGGCATATTATTATAAAGTATAAACCTAACTTCAAACTACCATAAAAACTCTGATAATATCGTATGTGAATCTCTTCCCGAAGACAAATTCCAAATATATTCGAAACATAAAATAAATGTGAAATTCTCCCCGCTCTTTGAAACTAAATTTCCAATTTATATATGTTTCTCAGATACAAAACACATTTGCCAAATATGTCAGTTATCATCATATTTCATATATCTATTCAAAAGGAATTTCCCATTCCAAATTATACACATAAATTACACACAATAGCTTCTGACCAACATGCCACAGCAAAAGCGGAGGCAGACGTTGCCGCATAGTCAAGCGCTGGACGAGAATTTCGAGTGCTTAATTCGTGTGGCATACAGCATTTGGTGAGACACTGGCCCGTCCCAAGGATCGCAATATTTGTGGCAAAACACTGGCGCAGCTGTCCAATTTCAACAAATCGAACTCGATGGAGGTGAAGCAAAATGTGCGTCAATTTCTTAAATTCTATTTACGGGTGCTGCGCTGGACGCAAACGCATCAGCCGATCATACTCTACGAAAAATGGGTAACTTAACAATTAGGGTATAGAACTTCTCTTTCCTAATCCGACTGAGCCTTGCAGTATGGCAAAGGCGGCAATAAATGTGAAACGTCGCCGTCGCCGGATGATGATGAGACACACATTTGGCTGGAGGAGGGCAGCTCGTATTTGGCCATGAAACACTTTGACGATGGCTCCATAATGATCTACTCGGCGGTGGCCAAAGATGCCACCAGTGGCTGGGCGGAGAACGGCTTTAAGCTGTTGTCGGAACAGAAAGATTAGATCTTAATATTAAATCTAACTTGCTATATACATATTCTATATATATTTATTATATATTTCGAGTTTGTAAAATGCACAAATGTGTCGCGAGATTCGGTGTACAAATGTTTAGCTTAAAATTAAATACAAATTGTGGACGGAATGTCGGGTGGAATGTGTGTAAAATTCGCTTAATAACTAAAGCTTCCAAACAGCTGAAGAAGGCACATTGTTTGTTATAAAATTTCTTGCTGGGAATGGGATATTTTGAATTCTAGCTGCGCATCAATTTCGCTGTGCCCGCCATCAATGCGAATCCGAGCAGCATTTGCAGTGATTTGTGCATGGCTTGCAGACTGCTGGCTGCATTGCAGCTATCGCTGGAGCAATAGCACTCCTCCCAGTAGACGCCATTCTCGTAGACGCCCCAATTGCAGACGCCAGTGACGCCCGTGTCCGAAACGGACGCACAACGTCTAATCACCTGACGCCAGCGACCGTCCCCTGCAAGTTGGGAGTTGTATATAATTAGTTAATGAATATTAAATGTATATATGTACTCTAACTACGCACAGATGAAGCCGCGTGGTCCTTGCTGGATGACTTTCATGCAGAAGGATCCGGGCATGTGGGATTCATCGCTGTTGCACTCAATGGAAATGTGTTCGGTGCGATTGAAGCGCTTGTAGGCGCCACAGCTGTCGTAGCCCTTGCGATCCTGATCCGATGAGCACTGGAAACAGCGTATGGCCCAGCTGCCTATTTTCGTGCGTAATTAACGCAATGAAAATCAAAAATGATACAATATTTAATTAGTCAACAGTTGGCAGCCACACCCAAGAATTGAATTGCTCAGAGCAGCACTTTTGGGTTTAGGTGAGTGCTTACCACACACGGTAAGCGAGAGCAGCAGCAAGGCACAGCGTGTTAACGTGAACATTTTCTTTATTTATTGCTTTTTATTTGTGCGCATAAAAATAAGCTAAAACTAAATTCTTTTAAACAAAAACAAGATGCTACGGAATGAGTGTGACCGCAATGTATGCTGCTGTTCTGTGTGACTGGCAATTGGTTGCGGTGGTCGACCGATTAGTCGCGGGCATGTCAATTTAATCGAATGTAGTGTTGGATAACTTCTTATATTTGGTACTTATTAAGCGCGAGATTTGAATGTCAACCAGTTTTGAATTATTCAAGTTAAATCATTTAGTGAATTTATGCAACTAACTTAATTAGCTTTAAATTTTGGTTCTTATGCAATGAGTGAAGAAGTAGATCAAAATGTCAATATATTTACAGCAAGCACGACTAGAAAATCCTTGCCCAAAAAGTAATTTCCCAGAATACACAAATTTCTATTTGTTGAACATAGTTTTTGTTTTGTTTATTTGTTTCTATACGCATCATCATCTTGTACAACATTTCGATATGTGACTATGTGTATAAGGTATTGAAACAACTGCATATTGTACATATATAGTATGTATATTTATAATAATAATATTTACGATTAACAGCAACCACCTAATAGGAGTATTTGAATATAAACTAATGCTTATTTATCGTATTTCATATTTACAATTTGCTTGGCATCAGCACATAATGTGAAAATTAAAATATAGTTATTGAAGCGCAGCCACACGGTTTATAATTAGAATAAATAAATAAAATACTATTTGATGTATATATTTAAATATAAATATATATATATATATATAAATGTAAAACAATATTACAAACTTGCAATTTGGCTAATGAGAGTTGTACGCTATTTTAATTTGTATATAATATCTAGATAAATATATATCTAACTGTGGGGGGAGGGGTGTTGGAAGGGGATTCCATATGTACATATATAATTTAAATTCAATTATGGTAAAATATTTAAATAAATAGCATGATTCAATATACAGATTATAAAAATACTTTAACAAATTCAATTAAATTTAAAATTGCATCACTAAAATACTTGTTCAAAACTGTTTTGTAATTGTTTGTTAACAAATGCGCAGCGAGTTCGATTTTGGATAATAATACATATGCATATATGTATGTATAGAGACAGAGGATCTTTCAGTTTGAATTTCTATAATACTTATGGTTAACTTTATGCTCTACTTGCATTTCCTAAAAACACTTTTGATTATTTGTATTTTTATGTTTTTGTTTTTTCCGCATTCTTCTTTTTGCAGGCTGCTTTCGGCCCACGACGCACTGGGATTGTCTCTAGTTGTAGGTGTAGTTGTAGTTGCAATTGTTGTTTTGGTTTTTGGTTTTTCAGGATCAGGCGGCACGTTTGTTGCAACTGCTGCGCGACGCGGCTGCAGCTGTGACGGGCTGATAACAATTGAGATTGGCGGACATGCGACCAAATGCGGCAGCCATGCGATTGGGCAGCTGAAACAGTTGCTGCTGCAACGGCTGATGACGACGACTGGCAGCAGTGGCAGTGGCAGCTGTTGTTGATGTGCCACACTGCCTGAACTGTGCCACAACTGCAGCATGCTGCACGTATGAGACACGTATGTTGACCGCATCATCATCATCATCATCATCATCATCCAGATCCACATCATCATCCGCCTCCTCGTAGTAGGCAAAGCCCGCCGGTGGCGGTGGCATCGGTGGCACCACATCAACCACCTGTGCAACTAGTAGCTTTTTTCTTGTTGCAGCTGTTGCTGCGGTTGTTGTTGTTGCTGTTGTTACTGTTGCTGTTGCCACCGTCGCCGCTGTGCCCGTGGACTATATGTCGGTATAGTAGGGTGTTCGCAGTAGGTGTTTAACGCGCAACTTCTGCTTATAGTGATACTCCTTCAGATAGCTCTTGAGGCGATCGGGCAGCTCCATCTGACTGACGCCATCGTATGTGGTATTCGAGACAATTGTGGCACGCGCCAGCTGCTGCAGCGAGAACGTCTGCCGGCGATGCAACGGCATCGTCAGACACGGCTCAAAGAACATCACGCACGACGGATCCTTGTAGTGCTCCAGCAGACCAGTCACAGTTAGCGCAGCAAACACGCAAGGATCATGACAATCGAAGCTGCAATCGATGACAAATTTCAGCAATTAGTCAGAAAGTCACAAAATGATTCAAAAATTAGGTTGAATGACACCTGTGCTTAAAGTTACACTCTGGGATGGAAACAGCAGCTGGTAAATCCCATTAATAAGCATGAATTTGACGTTCAATCAAAACTTAAAAGCCAATTAAGGCAGAGCTGCGAACAGAATAATAGCACCACTCTCACAAGAAATGTCTTCAAATGTGTCCAATTTTTTAAATGTTCAAGTTTAGGGAACTTGTGAAAATGTTTTTTAAAAGTGGAAGAAGACTTTCAAATTAACAACAATAAATATATATCTACATGTATATGGAAAAAATTGCGAGGAGGATACATTATAAATCAACATTTATATTAAAAAAAAAAAAACGAATGCTTTGTTTTTGCATTTGAAAGGAAAAATGTTGCAGTGGTGCTATTATTTTGATAGCAACTGTATGTGTCATTCACCAAAGGAGAAAGCCAGAGAGAGAGAGATAGGGACAGCTATTGACTCACCTAAATTTGTGGCCGCTCTGCTCGATGCGGGCGTGCAGTGTCCGTCCGTATTTGCGGAATGTGACGGAGAAGAGGAAATCCTCCTGTGCGGAATCGCGCAACAGAAATGTGCCCTCAGGTTTACCCTCGAGCAAGCGTTCCGCCTCATACCGATCCATTTTGCCCCAGTAGAAGCTGCTGTTGAAGATCCGCTCAAGATCGGGCACCAGACAATGCATGAAATCAATCTGGGAATGTACTCGCATCCCAGCACCATACGGAGTCATAGCGACGCCGGCGGATGCCGATGCGTTTTCGGAAGAAGATTGTTCTCGCGGCGGCAACATGTTGGCGGCATCCACCACTCGTATATTGTGGCCCCCCACGGTGACCAGGGGCGTTGTCGTCGTCGACGTGAAACCGCAATTGGTTGCCACTGCTGCTGTGGCGGCTTCCACGACCAGTTGCTGCTGCGGCTGCGTTGAACTGATCCTTATGATGACGGGCGATGCCCAAATTGCCACTTGGCTGACCTCTGCAACTGCCACCGAGTTGCGTTGACGCCGACGGTGCTCCGCTGCTGCAGCGACGCTTAGCGTTGGCGGCGTTGAACGTCTGTCGGCGGCGATGTGGCGTGTCTTGCTGCGCGACGATGTTGAAAGAGTTGCAGTTGCAGCGGCAGCAGCTGCTGCTGCTGTTGCTGCTTGTGTGTCCTTTTTGTCCTTGCTGGACTCGAGCATGCCGCGCAGACCGCGCAAAGCATCGCGACATTTACATTTACAACAGCGACGCTTTGTTGTGCTCGCTGCTGCCCCCGCTTCAGCCCCTCCACCTGCTGCTGCTCCTTGTGCTGGCAAAGTTTTGCTGCTGCGACTGCGGCAACAGCTGTTACCACTGCTGCTGGGCGCTGCAGAAAAAATATATAAATATATAATTAGTAATTGGCTTATTTTTATTTTATTTACAATTTATTTTCATTTCACTTAATTTGTTTTTTTTTTTTTCATTTAATGTTTATCATGCAGCACATTTTTGGTAAATTCCCAAGTAAATCCCAAACGCTTACAAATTAAATTTGCCCTGTTTTTCCTAGAAACATTAAAATTCTTCAAAGTGTCTGCCGTCATTCATAATATATCTATAATATATCTATATACATTATATTTTGTTTTGCTTTTGAAATTCTTCTGAGAATATGCACATATATTTGTTCTTGATTTATCTATAATATTTATGGCATTTTAAAAACTAAGACACATTTTCAAACACTGATTGTGCTTATAATCCTTTAACGGCCTGCTGCCAGCCACTGCTCTTGTCACATTTATTTATTTGCACAACTTTATTATACCCCTTCTTTTTCGCACATATATATGAATGTTCACACACACACACACAGACACACACGTAGAATTCGCATTCGTAATTGCTCTATTTGCTTATCTGCTGCTGCTTACCTTGCGCGCGTTGTTGTGCTCCACTCGACAACATTTCGTTGACTGGCGGCTGTGGTTCGAGCACCTCGCAATAATCGACGCCTTCGGCACCGTTAGCGCTGATGCTGCTGCTGCTTGTGCTGGGGCGACGCCGACGCAGCAATGACGACAACATCGTGGCTTCCATTTCCGATTCATCGTCGTCGTTCGCATCGGCGTCGGCGTCAGCGTCGGCGTTACCGTCTTCGTACAATTGTAGCATTTTGACCGCAGTCGACGCCGACACAACGCTTTCCGCGAAATTGTTATTCACGAGTTGTTGTTGTTGTTGTCGTCTTTCGTTCGTTTCGGGCGCTTCCGTTAGACTGCCAGCAGTTCGAATCGCACCTGAACTCCCCGCTCCCGTTGCCACTGCCAGTGTCAACATTTCAACATTCACAATTTGGTCATTTGCATTGAGCGTATCCGCAGACATTGCGACGCCTCCCGTAGCAAGTGGCAATTGTTGTTGTGGTTGCTGCTGCTGCTGCTGCTCCTGTTCCACACTCCTCCCATTCCCATTGCCAGCATTGCCATTCTCCATTTTGGCCAATTGTATTTTAATTATGATTTGTCGCACCTCGGCTGACGACGCCTCCACCTCCTCCTCCTCCTGCTCCTCCTCCTCAGCTGTAGGCGTCAATCCTTGCAAACTGATTCTTGTAGCTGGCAATTGTTGCTCCTGTTCCTGTTCCTGTTCCAAATTCGCTTGATTTTTGTTATTCTCCTTGCTTTTGCTTTTGCTGCTGGCAACGACGACACTTTGCTTGCTCAATTGATGACCCATTGAAAGCTCTCTCTCTCTCTTTCTCTTTCTTTCTCTCAGTCAGATCCGTCCAAACTACTGCAAGTTAAAGAGAATATTGTAATTATTAGTGAATGTTTCCTTAAAACAGTTGTTTAGCGTTGCCAGTTTTTTTTTTCGGCAAAAGCATGGCCACCTAGTCATTGGAATAAGCAAATCGCATTGGTTTCACTGTTAGCCAACATAACAGTTGTTAATGTTAATGACGTGTTTATTTTATTAGCATTACGCATTGTTTCCACTGGAAACTTATTAACATTCGCACATGTCAATTAACAGCAATGTATATGTGTTTACACCAATGAAATGTACTGAGTGAACTTAAATAACTGCCACATTATTTTGAATTGATTAAAGTTTCTTCATTGTTGCTATACAAAATTCGTAATAGAGTTCCGTATATAATTTATTAGCTATGCCCTTTTCGAGCACTTTCCCACAGCAATCCACGCGATTCTCAACACTGTAAAGCGAGTGTGAAATGTCTTGACCTACAGTAACAAACGCGCCCCCAGCAAATGCAGCAGCTGCCTGCTTAACTTGGCTACTGCTGACTTAATTACTCGACTTGAGACGAATTTAAATTGCGTGTGTCACCCCCCCCATCACATTCCAGCTTTGCGGTCATTGAGCAATTTAATGCACTTCCACATAAATTCCCTTCCCCTCCCCCGCAAGCATCTCCCCCACACACCATTTGCATTTTTCTGACGCCAACGCCGACGCACACGCACGCACACACATGCACACACACAGAGCACTTGGTAACAACTCCAGCGCCTAAAAACTGACTCATGCTGCGATGCCGATGCTTCCAAGGAATGGAAACCACCCCCTCCCTTCCAGGTCAAAAACAATGGCGTCGTACATAGCAATCCCACGCTTCGGCTCCAGCACACACACTCAGACTCACACACACCCTATATGAGCTATATTTAGACAAGAGCATAAAGTGCGGCACCCCACCCCTCACTCGCCCCCTACCAAGAATGAAATCAATGCGCTCACGTTTTTTCTTAATAATACTTATTCTTATTATTATTGTTGTACTCTTCTTCTATCGCTCATTTTCTGGGTCAGTGTTGATATGCGTTGCTAATTTCACAATCATTGACATTCGTAATGGAAGACGTCCGCATAATAAAATACCCTGCACAACTCGGGAGTCGCATTCAAGTTTACAAGTAATCCAAGAGAATTGAGATTCATTGAAAATATTGTTAAACACTATTCCGCTTTGTGTTTGTAGTTGCTGAGTAACAACAATGTGGAATCCTTATCGCTGATATTCAGCAAAATTCCTAGGTAATGGGTAGTGCGTCATGCCTCCAGAGCCAAGGGCAGACACCGCTTGGCATGACTTGCCACGCACAGATACAGACATCGTCTCTAATGACTCATTTGATTAAGTTGACCACCTCCAAACAAAAAAAAAACCCAAAAAAAAAAATGGACCTGCTGAAATTGTTGCCAGGGTGAAAACTATTTTGCCTAGTAATGGTTGGTAATTCTGCGGAACAATTAGATCACCAATCAGGCGATAAGCAATGACAATTGCACCATTCGTGATGCAATCATGAAAAAGTTACACGTGTTGCTTGCCAGGTTTATTCTCGTTTGTTAGCTTCGCAACAAGTTATTCTAACGGAATTGCAAATAACAATTCGTGTTCATAATGGGCAATTTTAATTATTAATTGCACATTAAAACTAACATTATTTTAAAATCGTTTTTCACTTGAAGCTTAAAACTGTTTTATGCGATGCTATCCGTTTAATTGTAGCCTTCAAAAGTTCATCATCATCAGCCAATTCTGACATCATTTAATTGCATTTTCAACAGAAATCGACAATTGGCTATCGCTAATTGGTTGCCAAGTGGTGCAGCTTAAGTTTTAAACAATTTGCAGCGTAATTACTGCTACATTCATAATTATGGCTTTCTTGCGCACTCGATTTCCCGGAATTTTCACCCACAATTTCCCCCGCCCCTTCCCCAATGCCAACCACAGCCGTAACTTTGCAAAATAGACCACATTAAACAATTCATATATTTAATTTCAAAATTAAAAGAATTGTACATAAAAAAAATTCAACGTATTCCAGCTTTAAGGGGAAAATCCATTTGGGGCTGAGAAGCTTTATAGTTCACTTCCCGGAAATGCGACACACAAATAACGAGCCAAAAGCTTTGGCAGATTAAAACGTTTTTAGCCAGAATTCAATCAATGTGCAGCGGAAAGCAAAAGCAACAAAAAAAATGTAATTAAACATGCTTTCAAGCGTTTAGTTGAAAATACAAATTGAATGAATAACAGAAAAAAGCACCGTTAGCTCGCTAGCTATACACTGTGGCGCCATCTATGGGCAGAAGCACGTGAATGCTTGCACACACATACATACCCACAAATGGCAGCGACCTTTCTCAATGCATTCGGTTTGCACGATCGTTTAATCGCACTCGATCAATGAATCAGGTACAGAATACGACATTCATATGACACCATACATTTTGTATTGATAATTTCTTACAAAAGCCCCAAACACACACACACACACACACACAGATAAAACAGATTGGAACACGACTATATTTACGCCAATGATGAAATCCAGTCGTGTGCTTGGCAGACCCGCATGGCTTCAAAACTTTCAATGGAAACCTGAAGTTTAAATACACAGGGAGAGAGAGAGAGAGAAAAGAGTGAGGGAACAGATAAAACCGCATAGCCCAGCAGCAACGACAACAATGATGTGCGTTCTACAAGCTAAGTAGGTAGGTAGGCATGAGTCACAGGATGGGGTTCACTGTTGTACAGCAAGGTGTGAGGCGATATGCGAGGCACGAGCTTCGTTTCCCCAGCAGCTAGCAGCCCAACGAGTTCCCTATGTGCATTTAGCAGCCAGCTTGGCGTTTTTTTTCTTGCTGTAAGTGGTGCTGCAGACAAAATTCATCAGAAGTCCAAATACAGATAATGATCTAATACATAACTGGTTCGTGGTAATAAAAAAACCTTGATAAACGTTTAACAGCAAACTCCTCCTCTATTGGAAAAGGTGCACGTTTGTCGAAAGTTATTATCAATGCGCAATTTTTACTCATAACCACCTGTAAGTATTTCACCACTGATGCTAATTAGAATTAAAAGATTACAAAAAATCATTGCAAATCGCTTATTGAATCATTGTAAAATGCATAAATAAATTAAATAAAATGTATAGCCAAAACAAACTGCAGTTCAAAACTAGTAAGAGTTAAGTTGAAAAGTTGCTAGGGAAAAAGTTGACAAAACTTTTCCAATTCAAAATAGCAAAAATGAAAAATAAAATAAAACTGAAAGCAACAATACTTAAAGTGAAGTAACTGAAAGCAATTCACCACCCGTTCCCCACCCCCATTCCCCTCTGGATGTATTTAAAAGCCCATTTGAATGGGAAAAGTAAAGTACTCTTGTTAGCTGCTGATGCTGCCTATTGTCAGGTTTTTACGCTGAAATTGTCACAACAAAATGAAGTGAGTAGAATTACGGTCCGCGCGGACAGCAGAAGGAGCTGCTCGATAAGAAGAACGAGGCACAGTGGGATGAAGTTAGTCAGCAAGGCAGCAGCAAGTGCAAAATCGCTGAAAACTTAAAAGACAAAGTCAACTTCAACAACCCAATGTGAAGCAACCTCAACTGTGGACATTGGTGCAGGGAGAGCGGAGGAGGGAGAGGGACTATGGGGAGACAACAAAGACGATTTAAGACAGGCAGACAGACGGGCGTAGGATTTAAAGCGAATTCAATTACTTTTTGGTTGCCGCCGCTGCTTCTCGTTGACTCCGGCTCTTCTTCTTCCACGTCTTCGCCGTCTTCTTCTTTTTGTTGTTCATTTTGTTTTTCGCTTTTTGCAGTTACTTGGAATTCGCAAATGAACTTCGCTTGAAAACAAAATCACATGCAAAGCACAAAGCGACCACAGCAACAACAAAGCACAAAGTGCCAAAGGAGCGCACGAACGACAGGCAGTGGAAAGAGAGAGGGACACAGGGAGGGGCGAAGGTGGGTACAGCCGACACGGTGTGCACGGCCTGAGAAAGTGTATTTTATTTAGATGTATTTTTCGTAAGAAAATTAAAATGAGAATTATTTATTACGTTTTTATTTTGCTTGCCCCCGCGCTCCCTCGTTATGACGAAAAATATTTGCTGTGGCTCCTCCTCCTCCTCCTTCATTCATTGCGCTTCACTCGAAATTATAGTAGCATGATGAACACAAACTTTTCTCATGGCAATTCGGCATTTATATGCCAATTTAATTAGCATTTCCAACGAAATTATTCTCTCTATCTCACCCACGGCGAGTTTTTTTTTGCCAATTTTAATCTATAGCCGTCACGCTCTCTCTGCTGCTCTCTGCGTATGCTTATCATGTGGTTCGCCGTGACTGATATGCTTCAGATTTGGCCATTGCTATTGAAATACTTGGAGAAATCTCTCATTGACGTAGGTAAACACAGCGTCAAACAGTAAAAATAATCAAATCAAATTCCCATTAGATACCATTGTTTATAAATAACGTGTGTATTTGTACATACCATAGATATGAATGTACACATACACACACACACATACACACTATCCGCCTATTTATACTAGGTGGCAGTGTTACGTAGACAACAGGGTGGCACAAGGTGTTTATTATTATGTGGTTATTCCCAGGAGCAATCTCATTCAAGCTTAACGATCTTTTTTTTTAAACTCCGCACTTGCGGTATTCAGTAGTGCAATTTGTTGACATATATTTACAGGGAATGCGCATAGTCGAGCATTAATGGTTTGTTTTCTTTCACTTTCAAATTTTTATCGCGAATTTTGGACAGTCGCGTTGTTATCAGCGACACACGACGCGGATAAATTTTCAATGTAAATATTTTATGTACGACGACGACGGGTACAATGTACAATGGCATTTTAGAAATTAAGTTCATGTGTACTGCAATAAAAATATTAATAAGACGCATTATAAGATTAACACGACTGTGAAAAGTGGCGAACATTTCGTAGAAAAGGCTCTCATGATAAATCCACAATAATACAACACATACACACACATAGGCACACAACCTATTCTTGGAAAGCATGTATGAATGTATGTAATATATGAGTACACACACACACACATACACGCTAATACTACGGGTGGTGAAGTCATGAAGTTGTTTAAAGGTATGCAGCAGTAAACCAACACACATATGCACACGCACGCACACACACACAACACACACACACACAGCGGTTGTTGTTTTCTGATTAAACGAAAGCACTAACGAAAATTTCAACTTAATTTGCTACACTTTTAGTCCAGTTGCAAGGGTTGGTGGGGGGGGGGGAGGGGGAGGTCTGCCGACGTCAAGGTTGCTGCGTACGCCAATGTTTAGATACAAGTTAGATAAACTACACACACACATACATACGCTCGCTGACCTGAGAAGTTTTGCAATTTGTTTGTATGTGTGTGGCTTATATGCTGAGTTACAAATTATGAACATAAGCGGATGAGAGACAAAAAACATAACGGTGCTTGCTTGAGCACGGAAAAGAGACAAAGACAAAGCAGAGCTTTAAGCTCGCTTCACAGAGATAGGCTCCAAATAGATTGACTGTGGATAAAGCGTGTGATAGAAAATATGCATATGATATAAAATGTTGCTTTAATGATTTACTAACAGATACATTGTCATTTTAACTGGTTATCTTTCTCCTCTCTTGATGAATATCATCATCTCCTAGGAAATAAGAATACCCAATAGGAAATGTATTTAATCATTGTCAAACGGTTTTCTACATAAACACACATACATAAATATATACATTTGCGGTCAAAATAATAGTAGTGCTGCTTCTCATTGCATTTAATCAGAATATGGCTCATTTTAATAAAATAGAATGTTGAAAATCGAGACAAATTTAGTATATCATATCCTATTTAACTGCAGGGAAAGCTGAGAAAACACAATTATTGCACTACTATTATTTTGACCGGCTCTTTAATATTTTTTGTTAACATTTTTATAGCAATTTAATTTAATGTTTACTTATGTTTAGTATTGATTGCTTGTGTTTAAATAAAATGTTCATAATTTTTAAACTATATTTAACGTTTTAACTATTTATTAACGTTTTCCAAATAGTACTAGTACTAACACTACCACAATTTTGACTGCATCTGTACAAAAATACTTCCAATAGACCGTCTTAACGTATTCTTGAAAACTGCACATATTCTGCCTCATATTGAGGTAGGTTCCAAACAAACAAAACACTTGCAAATCGCCAAATAAGGTAATGTATTATATTTCTTGAAGTTACCTTCGTTTCCTGCACTCCACAAATGTCAACAATCAGCACTTTTTATTAGTGCTACAACAACAGCAACAATGGCAACGATTAAATTAATAAATATAGCGATTACGACGATTGAGACGACTTCGACCGGAAGCTGATAGGCAAAAGAATATCAGCAAATTATAAAATACTCAGCATAATTAAATTACTTGTACTCAATACATAAATATAGAGGACGTACATGTGTGTGTGTGTGTGTTATCTACCCAGGGGAACTTGCAGCCTCAAGTATAAAAGAACAAAGCTAAACGTATTATTATAGGACTAAGTTCATTCTTAAAAAAAAATTACTCAAAAACTATAGAAATTGCACCATAAGAGTTATTAGTAGAATGACTTTTAATTATCACACAGTTCACATGAAAATCACAATTGTTAACGAGTCCGGCCTCTGATAGTATTCACGTGAATAAACACACACACGCTTACAGAGCTTATCACATACACACACACAGCACAAAGAGCGTTGTTAAGTTGAAAGCAGAAATAATTCCGAGAACAATCAAAAGCGCTTCGTTTTCCATGGAAATCGAAGGCAAATATGTGCACAACAGACAAGAGAAGGAAGCGAAGAGGAGCAAACAGTGACAAGAAAGAGAAATAGAGAGAGAGAGAGAGCTTAGATAACTGAACTAGTTGCTTAAGGGGGTTAGGGGGGTGTCAATGGGTGTGCCAAGTAACTAGACAAACTCTGTCAAGCAAATGTAGATTAGGGCGACATCTTCTATCGAAAATCTTACAAAAGTGACAAAGATGAAGTTGAAAACCGAAACAAATTATGGACAAGAAAAATGAAGAAACCAACAAATAAACAAGTCCCATAATTAACCGGTTTCCGAAAAGCAAACAAATAAAATAATCAAATAACAATATCGTTGTTTCACCTTTTCAATAACATTAAGCACTATAACTAGGTCCCCCCCTAGGTATAAATACAAATAGTAAACAATCAAATGAATAAAAATTGAGTGTTTTGCACACATTTCACTTTTGGCATTGCGGCGTTTCAATTGAACAAGTTCACGCGAACAATTAACAATGAGCGCCAAATGAAAGGCACAAAGAAATTAGAAAAATAAAAACCCAAAAACACACACACACACATGCACACATAAATCAAATTAAATTTCCACGAAATCTGCACATTAATCGAATAACAAACACTTATACAATAGAAGGTAATAACAATAGCCACAGCTGAGCGTAAGTCAATGGGGAGAGGAACCACAGAGAGAGAGACAGAGACAGACAGAGGGAAAGGGAGAGAACGAGCAATCTTTATTGTGTTTATGCGTGGCTGCGATTATGATATCTCTCAGCCACAAAGAGTATAGCGAAAATAGTGTGCACAAAGCACTTACTCACAATCAAGATTTTCGCGAAAACCCAAATTGAAATTGGAGTAATTAAAGGAAGTTAAAAAAAAATTGTTTTTTTTTTTTGTATTTATTTTTCACACAGTCGACTTTTTTTTCATGACTAATGGACAACAAAATAATGCTGAAAATGTATATTTTTTGACATTTCCGCTTGCTTGTCAGCGGAAAAAAGACATGTTCAAGTTAAGCAACCACACCTAATAAGGTATTGGACAGCATTTACGAATAACACATCTTTGACTACAATATACAAATTGTTAAAATACTTTCTAAATTGTTGGTTTCTTAAAAAAAAAACTACAAAAAATATATTTGAGTCCTTTTTTTAAACTTATTTCAGATGCTCATTATACAAATACACGATATGTTTAAGTGTATTTTTGCAGCATAATTTGGCATTTTGGCCAAAAGCGGTTTGCACCCCGAGGGCGTATCTAGACAAGCCAATTAAACAACGCCCAAATTACACTTATCCTTTTTTCTTTTTCACCGCAAACAATTTCAGTTTCACATGAAAAGCTATTAAAAAAAAAACAGAACGCACTCAAGTTTTAATACATAAATTCAAGGAAATGAGCGGAAGAAGCTGGTCAAAACCAGCTTTTACCAAGAATGATCGAAAAAGTGCACACACACAACAGAGACTATATATATATATATGTGTGTGTATGCATTACAACAACAAAGTTAATAACACCTTTTCTTGTGAAGGGTAAGTCGTCGAAAAATATCATCGTGTATGAAGTATGGCTTCAGCCGAATTGACTCAAGTCTCTCTCTCACTCACTCTGTCTCTCTCACGCTGCCATGCCTTGTTTTCTGTTGTGTGTGAGAAGACAGCTTCAGCTTGGTGTTAAATGTTTGCAGCCGTAGCAGCATTTCATTCAATAGCCGCCACAACAACTACAGCAGCAGCAGCTGCCAACATCAGCACCCGCCAACTTGCCGCGTTCCCGTTGCCCACAAATGCTGCTTGGCTATTGTGCTGTTGTTTTTGCTTTTGCTGTTGTTAAGTCGCTCTGTGTGAGCGCGAAACAGTGTTGTCATATTCGACATTACTCTGGCTTGAAAATTGTTGCTTTTTTTTGTAAATGTACTATTTTTTTCTGCGTTTTTATATAATTTTCAACATTCATATTAATGTATTTGTTTCTTTGTATTTTAATCTAGCTTTTTTTATTGATAATTTCCCATGTAAATGATGAGCCAATTATTAAATACATTAATCTGTAGTAATAAAACAAAATATAAATATTGCGCTCTCCTGATAAATAACATATTATGAATAAAATATATTTGTGAACAACTCATATAATCTTCAATTATATTTCCTACAATAAAAATGTATATCTTGTATCACAAAAATGGCTGTTTTTACTGGCCAAAAGTGCGCAGCACTGACGCGAGAGTATGAATGTGTACATGTAGTGTGTTTGTGTGTGTGTGTGCATTGTTGTTGGTCTTGTTGAGCTGCTGCTGCTGTTGGCTCGCTGCTTGGCTGTCTGTCACTTCTCGGAAATCGGTCTAAATTAGAAAATGCGTTTCTGGGAATATCGTATCTCTTTTGGGCACAACGAAATAACGCAACGGCGACACAAATCCACTATATATACACACTTATAGATACTTACAAATACATTTATATACATAAAGTATGAACAGATACTTATTTAAATATATACATTCACAAAAACATTAAATGAATTTATCAATGATTTCTGGCATATATATGAAAACCCAGATTAGTGTGAACATTTTTGCTGTTGCCGTCAATTATTTACCTGTTTAATCGCTGCTCTTGCTACTTTTTGTCGCAGTTATGATATTTTTCTGGTTTGTTGGCAACTTTTATTGAAATTGTATTTTAAGCATAATTCATAAATTTAGCTGGCCACAACAACAATAGCAACACTGCCACACAAACATTTGCACATAGTTATCTTCTTTCTCTTTTTCGCTCACTTCTCAATTGGTATTTAGATATTTGATGCTTGTTTAACAAACACAACGCGTACGCGATTATTGCACTTGTGCACAGTTAAATAAGTGTGCACTTGAAAACGATCGTTTTGGATATTTCATCAATTTAGGCAATTTTCACTAAATCAACGAAGAAGACGTATCTCAATTAAGCAACTAAGAGCTTTACCGTGCGAAGACTACGAGATACGCGCGTGCAACGAGTTCCAATTATTTCTCGTTTGTGTCACTAACACACACACTACTGTCACAAGGTGAAGTTGGCTGTGGCCAAGCATCATTTATCGATATTTGTGCGATAGTTTCTACTTTTTAATATTATGGGCATTCCTAATGTGACTGAATAATAATTAACAATTTTAAATTGGCATAATATTGGTTGATTTAATAATAAAAATTTGTATTATTAACAATTTAAACACACGTGCAGTTTATCATTATCGATAACAATCCGCTTAGGATCACTGGCAACTCTGTCATGCGCGCGCATATTCAAAGCTTGAATTGTGTGATTGCAGATATCAGCGCTGGCGCTGTGTAAACAACAGCGAAGACTGATTAGCTTGTCAGCTACAATTTTGCATTAAGTGCTGCCTAGCTATGAAGATATTTGCTCGTAGAACAAATATGTGGGCAACTATATATAGGGAGACATAACTTTTGACAAAGTAATCTCCACGGGGTATGGATGCACAACAAACAGTTGTCACTCAGGCCCAAGATGAAGAAAATAAATAAATTAAAGTACACACACACACACACACACATACATATTTGAATAGAAGGAAAGATGTGTAATTTGTAAAGCGATTCAGTGTCATTCGGTCAGTCAGTCAGACAAGTTGTTGAGCAGCGACTGCTTCGTCTTCGCCGTCGTCTTCAACTGCAATCTAATTCAATTGAAATTAAAACGCAAATTGACAATTATACAGAGAATCTCCGGGAAGAGAATCTGCTAGTATTTCACAGTTGATGCGTGGACAGCAGCAGCAGAACAATGAGCGCTGTGCCGGCAACGGCAACGGAACAGCTTGAAATGAAACGATCCACATCGATGCCAGTGAAGCCAAGGCCACTGGATCCCCCACGACCCTTGTCGCGCTGCCCCGAAAAGGAGACGGTCAATGATAACGCAGAAGTTGACTACTATCCAGAGAGTCCAAATTGCTCTCGGCGACGTAAATCCAAGCAGACGTCGCCCGATCAATTTGAGACGCGCAGCGTGCAAAAGTGGGTCACAACAACAAAAACAACAACAACAACAACTAATTTAATAATTTATTTCCCCAAGATATGCTCATTTTCAAACATTTCCATTGTTTCTTTCCAGCTTTCCTTATACGCTGGACTGGGCGGGCAGCTCCATTGAGCTGAGTCCCGATGCGGATGCAGATGGATTGCGTCGCAGCAATCATCGGGTGATGGATAAGAATGGACATGAGAATATCTTGTTCCGGCGGATACCGGAGAAGTCGTGGCGCTATATGCGGGATGCGATCACCACGCTGGTAAGAACCATGTTCGGCCAGAGGGCAACGAAAGCGCAATTAACTGCGTCTGAGCGATCGAATATATATAACATAACGCCCAGTATTCAGCGCAAATTGGATGAATTGGCCAACGAATCGCCGACGAAAGTCAAACACATTCCCAAGCCAAAAGCAATCGAAAGCGAGCGTGTAACATTTAGCATTTAACATTTAGCATAATCGCATATACTAATAAAAACCAATAAACTCACAAAATTTAATTTAACAAAATTTAAACAAACAAAACATGTAACAAACATTTTACTCTTGGGCTAAACAAAGTTAAATTCCATCATCACTATTGAAAAACTGATAACGATCAACTGCAATCGACGACAAATCGATAACTTGTGAGTCGAATTGCAAATGAAAATGAATAACGGCTCTTAGGCGCCAATTTTCGAAACTGCATTTTTTTGTCAGTCGTTTTGGTTTTGGCATTTACTAAAAATAAACACATTAATTTAACAAACAAACCAAACATGTAACAACAATTGTACCTGGTTGCATAATGTATAATTAATAATATATAATAATAATAATAATAATATGCATAATTGCATTTGTTAATCATACTTTCGATACACAGATCGAAATGGAGTGGAAATATATGCTGACAATTTTTGTGGGCAGTTACTTTATCAGCTGGATCTTCTTTGGCGTACTCTGCTATATGGTCGCCTATTCGCATGGCGATTTTATTTTCGATCCGATTAGTGGTCAGCGCTTGGGCGAAGGCAACGATCCATGCATTTATGGTGTAACCAATTTTGTGGCCATGATGATCTACTCGATTGAGACGCAGACGACGCTGGGCTTTGGTGAGAAATACGCCAGCGAGGAATGCCCCGAAACCATTTTCCTCTTCGTCATGCAAATGATGTGCGCCGCAGGCATTGAGGGAATCATGATTAGCATTATCTATGCGAAAACGGCGCGACCAGCGAGACAATTAACCAAGCTGAAGTTTAGCGACAAGGCAGTGGTAAGTCAAAAGTTCTTTAATTATCTCTCCACTGAATGAATAATGAATATATATATTTTATATATTTGCATTTCAGATTTGTTATCGCGACGGCAAACTTTGTTTGTTGTTTCGCGTTTGCGATCTGCGCCAACAACAATCCATCGAGTCCAAAATACGCGTCTACGTGATTGTGGACAAACCGTGAGTCAGGCTACTAAAAACTATATATATATTTATAAATTTGATATTATTTGCAGTACACGTGAGGGCGAGCTAATTAAGACGCACACGCAGTTGCGGCTGGAGGGCAACGGGGAGCAGCTGATTGTCTGGCCGGACCTTGTGTGCCATGCCATCGATGAGACAAGTCCACTTTATCACCTCAGCAATGCGAAGCAGTTTAATGCCGCACAATTTGAGCTGTACGTGACAATTGTGGGCACATCACCGACGACAGCACAAAGGACCGAGGCGAAGACCTCGTTTGTGCCGCGCGAGATATTCTGGGGTCAGCGTTTCGTCAACATTATCCATTACGATGCGGCCAATGAGCGATATTTTGTGGACTACGAGAACTTCAATACGACCATATCGGTAAGTATGGGTTTTCTCAAACACAACTCACCCACAACTCATACTTGCTTCCTGCCACTGGACAGGTGGACATGCCCGTCAAGCTGACGCCGGCCGAGCAGTTGCAACAGAAGCAGCTAGAATTGGCATACAGAAAGTAACATCTAATGCAAATACACAATCAATATATAACTTATAAAATCACATATATACTGAAATCAAGACCAGAAAAACAGAATTAATTGTTGCTAACACTATTTACTATTTACTATTACTATTTATTTTAACAATCTTTACCAAACAGTATAATTTGTTGTTCTTTAATTTATGAACTATTAACAACATTTGTATGCATTTTATTCAACCTCCACTTGCAGCATTATTAAACCTTAATTGAACAATCTAATAAATTGTAGCATAGAATACAGCATACTGAATATATTATCTTAAGGATATTAAACAATAGGAAACTTGACTTATTAAAAGTATTTACCACAGATATGCCACATATTATGCACAATTAAACAATAATAAACATAAATATACCATTTATATAAATTTTAATATAATATTTGCGTTAAGCATTGCCAGATCCCTGCTGACGGAGTAGATGCGCCACTTGCGCCTCGAGCAAATCGTTCTCCTGCTGCATTGCATTGAAGTCGTTCATGACGCGATCGCTTCGCAGAAGCAGCTCGAGGGCATCATGTACATATTTGGTGTGTTCCAGCTGCTGAGTCCAGTATTTTTTGACCTCAGTAAATAGGAGACACCTGGTTTGCTCATCCGACGCTTTGAGTTCGCGTTCCAATTTGGCGAAACGCTCATCCATCCGCTTCCGTTGTTCGGCCTGTTCCTTATCCAGCTGCACACGATTTTCGCCATTCGAGGACTCATTGCTGGATGTTTTTGGCAGCAACTGCAAGGTTGCCGCCTGAGTTGCTGTGGCAGCTACATGATGTGGTGTACTGTTCCGACTGGATGGTAGCATGCGCAGGCGTTGCTTTTGTGCTGCATCCGCCATCTGTGGATACTCCTTGTCGTTGCCAATGCTGTCGTTCGCCACCGAAATGTGCTCCTCGACCTCGGAGATCCTCTTCAGCTTGGCATCTCCGGAAATATTACTACGATCTTGCAATGGTCCGCTAACCGTCACTGTAAAATAATTAAGCTTTGTTAAAAAATAATCTAAATATTATATAATATAGGTATGAGGTGGGGTCTAAGTGAAAGTCCTCAATATCTATACAAAACTCTTACAGATATTCCATCTTACTGGAACTACTCACGTTGCGAATCAACTGTGGAGCTGGCTGCGCTATCCAAGGAGCTGAGCCCGGAACCGTTCTGATTAATGGTCTGTCGCTCTTCCTTTGGTTGCAACGACTCCCAGTCGAAGCTATCACGTCGCGTTACCAATGCCTTTGTCAGCTGCGTGGAAATACGATTCATGCCGTGTGGTCCTTTTGCATCCAAGAAATCACAAAAGGAATCACGCGTCTGGCGAGATGCTTTCGCTGTTGCCAAAGAGTCCAACTGCTGCTGGGTCATTGCTATTGGCTCCCCATCCATGGTCACATTATTTAAGTTACTGAAGCTGCTGCTCTGCTGCTCCTCAGTCGGTGTTGGCACAAAGGCGCATCGAGTGACGGCGCTGAAAGCAAAAAGCAAATTGCCTGATTATTTGGAATATTAAAAGATAATACAATCACCCTCCTACCAGCCATCGTGAACGGAACGCACTGCCAAGGGTGCCTTGGTGCTGCGCATATCGTAGGAAACGAGCTCACCCTTCAGGTTGCCGGCACAGAAGTAGGTGCCGCACTCGCTCAATGCCACCGTTGACATTGGATGCGTGTACTCCAAGCGACCCGATGGCGCCTGCGCCTTGTTGCGTCGTATGTCGAATATGTTAATCTTGCAGTCGTAGCCAACGGTGACTAACAACGAAGGCTGCCCACTGCACATGCTCACATCCCGACACGGTGCATCGTGTGCATCCTCCAGGTGGAAGATCGAGCGCTTCGCTTGGACATCATACACGGTTACGGTGCCCTTAAAGGAGGCAACGCCCAAGTGGAACCGCTTACTGGGGTGAAAGCGCGCCAGAGTTGAGCTTTATCAAAAGGATTAGTCATACATAATATATAAAAACATCAAATGTCATTTCTACTCACTACTCATCAATGGTAATCGACTCCATCTTCTGTTTGGTTCTGGTGCCATAGATGTTGATCTGGCCACCTTCGAGCACCGCCGCAATGTAGTCATCCGTGCAGTTGTAGTCCACATAGAGCACCGTACTGGACGACTGATTCGCCGGATAGCTGTGTATCAGCTGAGCGGTGCTGAAATTAAACAGCTTCACAAATCCACTCGATTGTCCGATGGCAATTTGATTGCACGCAGTTTTCGCACAGCAAACCGAATAGGCATTCTCAATGGTCAATTTCCTTACTCGCTGTATTTCGGGAACTAAACGTGAAAGCCATTATTAATCATTCAATATTTATCTGCCCTCCGCTTTACCGTTTTCTTGTTTCTCCTTAATGCGCATCACAGTCAAGCCCGCCTTTTTGTCCACCTCCACAAAGACGCGCCGCTGTGCGTTGAACTGGAAGTCTGTTGCTTCGCCATTGGCGTGTAGAAATGTCGACTTCGTTTCCAGATCAGCAAAATCCGATAGTATTGTCTTCTTCGACGTTGAAACTATATACATTTTAATGAAATTTTCTGATTGTCTAATTCAAATCAAACTCTTCTGGGAATGCGCAGTTGAATGCGGCAACTTTGCACTGACTGCCAATACCGAGTTGTAGAGTTGCCAGATCGCTTCGAATATTTCCATCGGCTAGCAACAAATTCAGTTTGCTATATGAAATCGCTGTTTGAAATCGATCAAGAAAAACATAGATATTGAATACAATGTCTGCGAAACTTGCGCGAAAGCTAAATATGCGTTGGATCGTTTCGAAGGGCATCTCAGAATCACGCATAAGAAGTGTTCTTGCATATACAGACATATGCGGACCAATCATCGCGAAGTCTGCTGGATGTCCGCGTTACTTGGAGACATTTATAGACGATTATTCGAGGAAAGTATTTAATACTTTTAATATGTTAGGAGAAGAGGATGTGCCAAACAAGTAGATAATGGTCAGCATCAAAACAGAAGCAAATTCAGTCACTTGAGGCAAATAATACCTGGGAACTTGTATATTTGCCAGTGGGCAAGAAATGGGTTTTCGGTAGAATATAAGTTATTCCTGCATCAAAATTATCTGTCGACTGAAATGAATAATTGTATATAGAATTTCGCACACACAAAAACCAACAGCTGAGTCTGCTCATTTATTATGCACAATAATTAAGGTAACATTATAACAATAATTTTTTTGTTTTTATAATTTAATAAATGCTTCAAGCATTGACAGATTTATCGCCCTTCATTTCCTGCCTGCTGATTAATTGCTTCAGTTGTTGCTTGAGCATCTCGTTTTTCTTCTGCACAGCAAAATAATTGTTTGCAAATCGATCTCTTTGCAGCAGCTGATTTATGGCATTACATGTATCCTGTGTTTTCTCCAGCTGCTGATTCCAGTATTTGGCGACCCAAAAGAATGTGGTAAATCTGGTTTTCTCAGCTGACCATTTTAGTTCGCGTTCCAGCTTAGCGAAACGATCATCTAATTCATCCTGCTCCTGTGGGTGCTCCTCTGCACGCTCCTTACCCGGCGATGTATTCGAGGACAGATTGGTGGGTGCCGATAGCTCCATATCCGCCAACTGTGGATTCGCCTTATCGCTGGCAGCGCTGCTGCTTGTTGCCGAACAGTTGACCGATTGCTCAATTAACTCATCCTGCTCATCCGCCTCAATTATTCTCTTCAATTTGGCATCTACCGAAATATTATTGCCCTCTCCCAAGGAGCCGCTGAGTGTTTCTGTAACAGATAATAGCTGTGTGACTTTATGAACAACCAAAGATACAACTCCGTACTCAAGTTTGTTTATAAACTACTCACGTTGCAGCGAATCAGCTGTGGAGCTAGCAGCGCTATCCAAGGAGCTGAGACCACAACCGTTCTGATAAATAGTCTGTCGCAGTTCCTCATTATTTGCCTTCGATTGCAACGACTCCCAATCGAAGCTATCACGCGTCGATTTCGTTGTCTTTGTCATCTGCGTGGACATGCGATTCAAGTCGTGTGGTCTTTGTGCATCCAAAAAATCACAAAATGAATCACGCGTCTGGCGAGCTGCTTTCGGTGTTGCCAAAGAGTCCAACTGCTGCTGGGTGAGTAGCAAATTGGCGGAAATCGATTTGCGTAGCTCATCATGGGGCATTGGCTCCACTTTTACCGTCTTGCAGCCGCCCACATCCATAGTCACACTATTTGAGCTACTGAAGCTGCTGCTCTGCTGTTCCTCAGTCGGTGTTGGCACAAAGGCGCATCGAGTGACGGCGCTGAAAGCAAAATCAAATTGCCTGATTATTTGGAATATTAAAAGATAATACAATCACCCTCCTACCAGCCATCGTGAACGGAACGCACTGCCAAGGGTGCCTTGGTGCTGCGCATATCGTAGGAAACGAGCTCACCCTTCAGGTTGCCGGCACAGAAGTAGGTGCCGCACTCGCTCAATGCCACCGTTGACATTGGATGCGTGTACTCCAAGCGACCCGATGGCGCCTGCGCCTTGCTGCGTCGTATGTCGAATATGTTAATCTTGCAGTCGTAGCCAACGGTGACTAACAACGAAGGCTGCCCACTGCACATGCTCACATCCCGACACGGTGCATCGTGTGCATCCTCCAGGTGGAAGATCGAGCGCTTCGCTTGGACATCATACACGGTTACGGTGCCCTTAAAGGAGGCAACGCCCAAGTGGAACCGCTTACTGGGGTGAAAGCGCGCCAGAGTTGAGCTTTATTAAAAGGATTAGTCATACATAAAATATAAAAACATCAAATATCATTTCTACTCACTACTCATCAATGGTAATCGACTCCATCTTCTGTTTGGTCCTGGTGCCATAGATGTTGATCTGGCCACCTTCGAGCACCGCCGCAATGTAGTCATCCGTGCAGTTGTAGTCCACATAGAGCACCGTACTGGACGACTGATTCGCCGGATAGCTGTGTATCAGCTGAGCGGTGCTGAAATTAAACAGCTTCACAAATCCACTCGATTGTCCGATGGCAATTTGATTGCACGCAGTTTTCGCACAGCAAACCGAATAGGCATTCTCAATGGTCAATTTCCTCACTCGCTGTATTTCGGGAACTAACCATATAAGCTATTATTAATCATTCATTATTTATCTGTCCTGCGCTTTACCGTTTTCTTGTTTCTCCTTAATGCGCATCACAGTCAAGCCCGCCTTTTTGTCCACCTCCACAAAGACGCACCGCTGTGCGTTGAACTGGAAGTCTGTTGCTTCGCCATTGGCGTGTAGAAATGTCGACTTCGTTTCCAGATCAGCAAAATCCGATAGTATTGTCTTCTTCGACGTTGAAACTATATACATTTTAATGAAATTTTCTGATTGTCTAATTCAAATCAAACTCTTCTGGGAATGCGCAGTTGAATGCGGCAACTTTGCACTGACTGCCAATACCGAGTTGTAGAGTTGCCAGATCGCTTCGAATATTTCCATCGGCTAGCAACAAATTCAGTTCGCTGTTTGAAATTTGTTTGCCTACGCAGAATGCCCGCGTAGCTCAAGTTAAAAAATTTAAATGACTTATCGTAATTATCAGTTTTACTTTTGCCCACACTTTACAAAATCTTCGCAAAATTTAAATAAAATTCGAAGAAAATGACAGTAGCATAACCGTATCGATACTTATTAAGAAGGTAATCAAGTAAATAACACAAGGGATTCTGATTTTTATAATAGAAACTATACAATTATATTACAACCTATAAAAAATACTGAAAAATAAATGAAACAGTTAATCTTGATAATCCTAAAATATGACTATAATGCATATTGTGTATATTAGCTGCGTATAAAACTAGCTATGAGGCCATCGCGTTTCTTCTGCGCCGATGATGTGTGTTTCCAATTAACCAGTCCGTGCTCCTCGAAGACGAGACTATTTTGATTATCTGGCAGCATATCAAAGTCCAGGGTTGCATCCTCAATTGGCTCACCACAGTCCAATATGAAGTTGTGAAGCATGCAGGTGGCCGATATCACCATGCTACCCACCTCCATGGTGCCAACATCCAAAGATGCCAGACGTCGAAAACGTGACAATAGCGCTGCAAAAGCACGCTCTGCCGGCGCATTCCACAAATGCACCGCCTGATTGTAGCGTATGTGGCAGGGTGTCAATTCGCCATTGTTATCCGCACAGGGTGTCATCAGATTGAGCAGCAGCGGATACATCATTTCCCCAACGAGATGCTTATGCGGCGGCATCAGTGGCGACTCCTCGTCAATGAGTCGCTCGAAGAGATCACTCTTGAGCAGCACACACTGCTGATTGCCGGGCACATCGATGTGCACATCCAAGAAGCGACTGCGCTCATCACACACTGCCTGCAGAGCCAGCCACGAATAGTGCAAATGACCGTTCTCCTCGCGTACAGGCAGCTTCAATTGGATGCGGCACTCATCGATGACGCCCACAACGCCGGGCAGTTTACTAATGCCACTGCCACTGCACACATTATCTGCCGGCCACTTCACATAGTGTGGCAGTAGCGTCGCAAAGGCGGAGGTGACCCAACGAAAAATCTCATGGCCCGAGCTCTTTGATATGGCAAAATTAATGCCAACCTCGCGAAATGATTTTCTGCGAATGTTTTTGGTTTATGAAAAGTAAAGAAAATATTAAGTAAACGAATCAAAATCATACTCGCCACTGAGCAGGGTTAATGTGTACAAAAGTTTCTCGGGCAACGAAACTCGGCCAATTGGTTGATGCTGTTCCCCTCCGGCTATAGCATTCCCAATGACCTGCAGCAGCGTCTATTGGCAAAATTGTATTATTATAATTGTTGTATAATTAGTTCATTTATATTCACCTCGAAACTGCTGCGCTGCATACGGAATTGCTCCTTGAACTGATCATCTTGGTAACGCGAAATGGACGCAATCTCATCCTCTGCCCCTGTTTCATTACCATTCGCCTTAACAGTTGTGGTTAGGGCACCAATTGAACTTTCAGCGGTGACCAGTCGTACGGCTTCGGCCAGTTGAGGACCTAGACCCTCATCCAGGAAAAAGTTTAGCATAAACGCTCTGTCGGCGCGTGAATTCATTTTCTGTGGTAAACAAAAAGTTGAGCCAGTCTCGCAGCAACAGCTGTTAGCATGCAAATGCTTTAACATTTTGCTAAATGTGCCAAATGAGCAAGTTCGATAACATTCGATAAACACTTTATAGCTCTGTTATGGACATGCTAGGCGTTGTTAATTCTGTGGTTTTAATTTAAATGATTTAAATTCGAATACAACAAAATAATAATCCAGCTAAATAGTGATGAGAAATGTTTCTTTTAATACAATTCAAATTATTAACGGCAGTATTTCCGACAACACTGACAGCTGCCTGTTAATAACAGACAAAATTTGAAATGCTGTTAAGAACATATGTTAGACAAATGAACGAGCGAAAAATTAGTCACTCGTCGTTGATTTTTCGCACACAACTGTTCGCTTGCAGCGGTAAATTGGTGATTAACAAGTTCATCACTACAATTACAATTTTGTGGTAAGTAAATTATAACCGTTTGTGGTTGTGTTGTGCTCCGATGTATTTATTTGTGCTTTTCTTAAAACCAAACAAAATGTGCGTAAAAATATATGTATGTGTACGTGTAAGGCAAAATGTTTTATTGCAAGCGCAGAACAGCGTAAAAGTGCCGGCTGCGTTGCTATCACTATGGGTGGGGTTACAGTTTGTTCCTGCGGCGGACAGGCTGTCTGGATTTTAAAATGGCCCGCAATACATGCATATTGTATATATATATATATGTGTGTGTGTGTGGGCGTGAAGTGTTCGAGGACAAGAGACAGCTGTGTGTCGCATAGCCGGCTATTCGGGCCATTTCGATATTCTGGCTATTTTTATGTGAATCATTTTTTGTTTGTTAAATTAAATACATACACATACATACGCGCATACATACTAATGTAATTTGTGCGCTTGTACGTGTATTCACTTTGGTATATTTTTAATGATGATTTCATATAAGCATGTACATTTTCCATTTGACCATTTGTAAATGCGCAACCAAACAAATGTGCAACATTTAATATATTATTAGTAGGGTATCGCAAGTCGAGTGCAGAGTTTCCAGAATTTCTCAGCTGTTTGTCGCTTTACATATTGTTATTGTTGTTGTCGCTCTGACTCACTCCCACTCTAGAAAGTTTACGCAAGACTGAGCAAACCTGATATATGCATGTGTATGTGTATGTATGTATGGAATTAAAGATGGCTAAAAAAAACACACTATCAGCAACAAAAAAGAACCACTCATATATAGATAAACAATGTATCTATATATATATATATATATGTATATATACATCTATCTATTTTCTTTTACTTCTTCGTTTTTACCATATTTGTATGTGTTGTATGCAGCTTTAATTTCTAATTAATTGTTATTTGAGACGATCAGTGCCGCACATAACGGTACCACAGCTGCAGATATTTAATCTGCTCTGTGTGCGTGCGTGTGTGTGTGCATTTGAATGCATTTGACCACAAAAGAACAGACGAGCCACAGCAACATCCTACAAGAAGAACTCGTCTTCGCTGCGAGCAGAGCATAGCTGAGCTGAGCGAAAGTTGTGTAAGCGCACAAGACAAGACGGATTCTCACTCTAATTGCTCATTATTTGTTGTAAGCTAAATGCATTAACAATACAAAAGTGCAATAAACTCATTGTTGGCTTCGTCTCTGCGTTGTCTGCTGCAAATGCAAAAACAACAGCTATGCACAGCTTTTCTCTCTCTCTGTCGCGCGCGCGCTCTGCCTCTCTTTATCTCTATCTCTCTATCCCACCTGTCCTCTCTATTGTCGCGCATTGTTGTTGTTGCCATGGCCGCCACCATGAAGCTTTCTCCCCAAGTGCAGCCAGCTTCAGCTGTTTTTGACCCTGTGCACCAATGAAAGCAACAATTTTTTTTTCGTTTGTCTCGTTTTCATTGCTCATCATTTAATCAGTTCGAGTTGCTCGCACAAAACTTTAGCAAGCACTGCCAAATTGGGCAAGCCAAGCTTATGCTGCCTGCCTGCCTAACTCTCTGTCGCTAACATTGCCAAACGATTTAACATTGTGCTGTTAAGCGAAATGCTATCCCGCTGTGCGCTGTGCTCTGCCATCGCTCACAGATATATCCGAGTCCTGTGCGTGCGCGCTGTGCTGCTCCTGCTGCTGCTGCCCTTTTCGGGGTGTGTTGCTTGCGTGTGTGTTTGTGTGTGTGCGTGTGTTTGACCCAGTTGGGTGCTAGTCTTGAACATTGAAAAGTGCTTTAATTTGCTAACTTTGTTTTTTGGTTTCTCTCGAAACGAATTAAAACATTGCGTTCAAGTGCGTGTGAAATGATGAGCATATAGTATACAGACCAGACATCCGTTATACGCTACATATATATATAAATATATATATAGATAAATATATATAGGGACGGGACCTCTAAGGAGTGGTTCTTTTTCTTTTCCAGCTAATTTCTTTTCGTTTACGGCTTTCGTCATACGCCTAACCAAAATTTCTTGTATGGCTGCTTGTGTCGGCAATGTTGTTGCTGTTGTCGTCAACATCGTTGCTGCTGTTGTTGTTGTTGTTGTTGTAACCGAGAATGAGTTTGAAAGAAAGCGGAAATTGCATAATCTGAATGTGATAAATAAATTCCATACTTACACCGTTCATATTTAAAGTGCATAGACCGCAAAAATGTTCTCATGTTGTCGTGCAAATCCAAAAGCAGCCAAAAAGGATAAGGACAAGGACAAGGATAATCATAATAAAAACGACGCTGAAACAAACGAACAGCTGCCCAGCCCAAATTACAACGAATCAGAGGCAAAGCAGGAGGTGGAGGCGGAGGAGAAGGAGCAGGAGCACGAGCACGAGCACGAGACGGTTGCCAAAGTAAATGGCAATGTGTCGGCGCCAGAGCCAAAGTCAGAGCCTGAACCTGAACCTGAACCTGAAGCTGAACCCGTAACCGAACTCGAACCCGTCATCGAACACAAACCGGAGCCAGCAGAGCCAGCTGAGTTTGACGTTGACGTTGATGTTGAGGCCCAAACTGGTATTCACAAACAAATTTGCACTAAATACATAAGTACAAAATCTATCCTAGCCTTATAGTCTACACAGAACGAGGACACATTGACGTAATGCTCTGCACCAATTGGGAGCATTACTTCACGCTGTGTGTGCCATTATTATTATTATTACTGTGCACCTGAGTTCGGGTTCCATCAACAGCTGTCAAATGGTCAGAGAACCTGTGCCTCTTTCACTATTTTCTTTTTGCCTCACTCTAGAAATGGCCATAGACGAGCACCTTATTCTTTAGTTGTAATCCTTAAATTGCTTACAAATATGTCGTGTGTACATTTTAAGTGTAGACAACTATTTTTATGTGCACATTATGTGATCAGTTCAATTCCAAATACATTTATATTCTAAGATAAATTTCTCTTTCTAAAAGCTTAAACTTTTTAGTGAGAATTTTGAGGCAGTTATTGTTTTAACTTACTATCTCAACTAAGAGACAGATTCTGTAAGCTCAACAATTGGAAGGAAGTTACTAACTGAGATCATTTGTAATCCATATTAGCTTAACGGTTTAGTTGTTCCCTGTATTATTATTATTGTGTATATGTATTAAGTTCAAATATGCGCTTTGTGTCGCATCTCCACAGCCATTGAATTAGAATTGTCGCCAACGTTGCGATCGACCCATTCATCGACTTCAACGGCGCCGCCCGCATCGATGACCAGTGCGACGACTGATGACGATGATGCTGCTGCTGCTGCTGGTGCTGGTGCTGGTGCCGCATCACAGCAGCAGCCAAAGCAGATGCAACTGCAACAGCATCCGCCTCAGCAGGAGCCACAACATGCGCCCACAAAGAGTTGCCTGTCGCGCCACAATTCGACGCATCACTCGATCAAGAAGAAGGTCAACATCAGCACACGAGCGGAAATCATTGAACCGGATACATCGCTCCTGCTGCTGGCCAATCACTGCAACAATAACAACAACGGCTCACTGGGCGATGACGATGAGGTGTTCTCGGACTCACTGCCGCCGCCCAAGCGGGAAAGCATGTGTGCCCCTTACATTGAGGGCGACATGCTGCCGGAGACGCTGGCCTTTGCCCACGGATTGCCCTCGTGGTTCGATGATGAGCGACTCAATGAAAAGTACGACGCGTTCTCTATCGCATGTTATTTGTGTGACTCCTCTTTCTAACTGTCGTTTGTTATTGTTGTTTGTCGTTGTTGTTTTCGAATGCAGCGGCTGCATTGAACCACCCGTCACTCCTGTGGGACGCGATGAGCTGGAGCTGAAACGTCAGCGACTCTATACGGAACTGTTGCGCGCCGCCCACGCCGCCGTGGAGCACAGCGTGGCTGTCCGTGGTAAATGATGATTCCACCTTCTCAAATTCTCTCTTTCTCTCTCTCTCTCTCTGTGTGTGTGTGGTTTTAGACTACTCCATTTGTTGTTTTTTGCATGCCCAGTTTTCGAAAAAGTTCTCGTTTCTGTTGTTGTATTTACCCATTACAAATTAATAAGTACTTTCTTGCATAAAAAGATGTTTTCTCCACTTACAACTATTTTCCTGAATATCGAATTATTTTATTTCAATTACTACATTTTTCTCTGATTATAAATTTAGTAATCCAATTGTAATTCATATCAAATCACCTGAAAAATTATGTATAATGTAATATTTTGCTTATCACAGCTCCAAAAGTATTATCAACAAGAAACAAACATTTTTTATAATAGTTACTATTTTTAATTGGCTTTAGGCTGACTCATGTCTCGACAATCATTGTGAGGGTTATCAAATTGTTTGGCTTGGCCGAATATATGTAATTTTATCTCACTGCTTTTGTAAGTGCACAACTTGAATGTATTTTGGTCAATTTTGTTTTCTTGTGGACTGCGATTATCTTGTTATCATCATCATGATCATTGGCATCAACTGATCATTCAACAATTTGCATTTGCATTTTTCGTTCGTCGTTGCCAATGATTCATTGTCTTTTTTTTGTGCGATGACATCAATTACAACCGACAACTAGTTGTATATAATTTGTTGTTGTTTCTCTTTTTTTTTTAATAGACGTTTTTACTGGGTGTGGATTGTTTTGTTTTTTTCTTTATAGATATATACAAAATATTTGTTTGTGTATATATTTATATATATATTTAGAAATACGCTTGCATTTTTCACGCACATTTTGATTTCTTTTTTTGGAGTTAAGCAAAAGCACAACTTTCAACTTGAAAATAGAAATAAAACTATCAATGTGACATAACATATAATTGATTGACTGATTTGCTGTTGCGCAGATAACAACGATACGGAATCAAAGCCCACGGTTGCCGTTGAGCATTTGGAGAGGATCTGTGAACGCTTGGAAACGCTAGTTGATCGCTTGGAACACACGCTTATACAACCACAGCCACAGCCACAACCGGAGCAGCAGTCACAGACCGAACCAGTTGCAGAACTGTCTATAACACCACCGCTACCACCACCACCAACACCACCAGCACTAACAGCAGATCTCGCACCAACCACTCTCAGCAACAACATGAGTGTCGCCGGCTTTGAGGATATTGTGGCCGGGCCGCTGAGCCAATATCTGGCGTTATCGGCCAAAATTGGCGGCGATGTGGCCCAGCATGCGCAATTTGTCAAGGCTGCCTTTGAGTGAGTGGCTTTTAATGCAATTTGCATTTGCATTTCATTCTGATAACTTTTGATTTTACAGCGCCCAATTGCGTTATGTGAAGCTGGCTACGCAAATCGCTCAGCCGGCTCAACCAAAGCAAATGGAACTGTTGCAGCCAACATCGACGCAAATCAGCGCCATTCAGGATTTCCGTGAGAAGCATCGCTCCTCCGCATTCTTCAATCACTTATCGGCAATTAGCGAGAGTATACCGGCGCTGGGCTGGGTCTGTGTATCGCCGACGCCCGGACCGCATGTCAAGGAGATGAACGATGCGGGCCAGTTCTATACGAATCGTGTGCTCAAGGAGTGGAAGGAGAAGGATGCCAAGCATGTGGAATGGGCACGCGCCTGGATCCAAACGCTGACCGAACTGCAGGCCTACATTAAGCAGTATCACACCACGGGCCTGGTGTGGTCCGGCAAGGGTGCGGCCCCAGCTGCCGGTGGTGCACCACCACCACCACCACCCGGTGGTATGCCACCACCACCGCCCCCACTAGATCTGAGCGCATTGAAGCTGGACAGCGCTGGTGGCGATGAACGCAGCGCGCTCTTTGCCCAAATCAATCAAGGCGCCGATATTACTAAGAGTACGCAATTGAATTATTTAAATCAGCTTCTTCAACTAAACTATTTATTTCTGTAGATTTGAAGAAGGTAACGGGTGAAATGCAGACGCATAAAAATCCATCTTTGCGCACTGGCCCCGCACCCTTTAAGACGCCAGCCAGCAGCAGCAGCGGAGGAGGCGCCGCTGGACGACCTGCACCCCCCAAAGAGCCCGTCTTTACGCGCGATGGCAAAAAGTGGCTAATTGAGTATCAGAAGAACAATAGCGGTCTGCTCGTGGATAACGCTGAAATGAACAATGTGGTTTACATGTTCCGCTGCGAGGGCTCCACTCTGACCGTCAAGGGCAAGGTGAATAACATTGTGTTCGACTCGTGCAAAAAGTGCTCGCTGCTGTTCGAATCGGTTGTCGCCTCCGTTGAGTTTGTCAATTGTCAGAGCGTTCAGATGCAGGTGTTGGGCTCGGTGCCAACTGTGTCCATTGATAAGACCGATGGTTGTCAAATGTATTTGTCCAAGGATTCGCTGGGCGTTGAAATTGTCAGCTCCAAATCATCGGAGATGAACATACTTTTGCCCGAGGCAAATGGTGACTATGTAAGTCGGAATATTGAAGTGGAAATAGTAAATTAAGAACATTTTATTTTAATCAATTGAATTTGCAGACCGAACTGGCCATGCCGGAGCAGTACAAGACCTTTATCAATGGCAAAACCCTCAAGACTGTGTGCGTGGACAGCCTTGGCTAATGCGTTCAAGCGGCAGGAATCCCATGAGCGACGTCGATTTGCTTTTGAAGACACAACCTCCACTTCCCCCACACTTGTATTGATGGAGCTGCAGCAAGCTATATAATTAATTTTAAGCACAACATTTTCGTATTTGTGTATTTATGGTTTTTTTTTCACCGTACGAGAATTTAAAAAATCGTTGCCAAATTTCTGCTGCTGGCTAAACTAAAAGCAAAAATAGTATTCGAAACAAACATTATTTATTTTATAATGCAGAAAAGCAACAACGGCGTAACGCAAACGAGACTCCAAAATTGTATTTATATATTAAAATTAATGAGAATATGCACGAAACTTTTCAAACATTTTAGAGCAGACTTTTCATTAAATTATACAATTAATAATTTTGCACCCTATGCATGTAAGAGAAATCGAGATCATCAGAAAAACAAGCAAAAACAAAACTTTTATATTCTATTTAAATAAAATTTAAACATTTTTTATTAAATAAAAAAAGGAAACGTGTTTTTAATTTATACATTATTTATGCCATTTGTATGTCGTTTTTAAGCCCAAGATCAAAACAGATCGGATTAGTGAGGAATGAATTTCTGCTAATACTCGGTTAAATCTTCTTGTACTCGATGCGCTCCACTTTGACCTCATCGCCAATCAATTGGTATACGTAGGTCACCACCGTCGTACTCTGGATGTCCATCAGCACAAACGAAGGCACCACATTCGTGTCCAGCGGATTGAAGGCGCCCGTTGCTGAGCCCGGATTTATGTAGAACTTATTGCCATGCTCGTACGCCTCAAACTTGTACGTATGCCCCGTTATGAGTATGTCCACGTCCAGCTGGCGTTGGATCAGTGCCAATGCCTCTGGGTCACCACGGGGCACCACTTGATGACCGTGGCACAGACCAATGCGAAATTGTCCAACCGTCACAACCTTTTGCTCCGGATAGCTGAGATTCTCATCGAAATCGCCACGCACTATGTGCACATCGGTGGCAAGCGATTTAAGATAATCATACGATTCCTTTGTGCAGATATTTCCGGTGGCCAAAATATGATGAATCCGACCGGGCACAAGTAGCTTTTTGAACTTTGCCGGCAGACTGCTGCAGCGGTGTGGTATGTGCAAGTCTCCAAGTACTAGAACGAGCATTTTATGCCTGCGTTAAATTCCCGTTTCTTAGACCGAATCTTTAAACGATTTAATTATCAACAAAAATTGGTGAAACGCCCAGCAAAAATTTCAGTGCTGACAAGAACAGCTGTTCACAATGTAAGCGCATACAGGCGAATGGCAAAACCAATTGTACGCTATGACAGCCCTGGCATGAGCAACCAAAAGAAGGTAACGTCATTGAATGACGTCATGTGTTAAGACTATTATCTGTTGTTTAAGATATATAGAACACTTGATGACAGAATGTGTAACGAAATAAAAGTCAATATTTATATTACGACTTACTAGTAGTGCACAATTAGCTATTCTGCAGAGGCAACTGCGAGAGCGTTGAGTGCATGTGACGTCATCTGGTGTATGCTACTCACATTGCGCGCTCTTTTGACGAAATCTTATAAATGCTTTGCAGAATGCGGTCAGCGCTTTGTTTTGCCGGCGAAAATGGACGCAGCGGAAGTAGCAGCAAATAAAGAAGGTATTTAATACATTTCAAACTGTTAAATAAAAAATAATTCAAACTAATTGTATACACTTGCAGCTGAGGCTAGCATTGATCTGCTGGCCATAGTGCTGGACACGAATCCCACACAGCACATTGTGCGTCAAAATCCACAAAATCTCACACAAATCCTGGAGGCAGTCATCGCCTTTGGCAATGCACATCTCATGCAGAAGGCGCAAAATAAACTGGCTGTCATATCCTGTTCACATCATGCAACGTAAGCGGGCCTAAGTTAAAGATTAACGAGTTGATAATAGTCATAAAGTATTTTACTTTTAGCGACTTTCTTTATCCGCTGCCCGGCCGGCAAGTGGAGCTGCGCCCGATTGATGGCCAGTACGAAGCATTCAGTTTGGTGGAGAAGACAGTGAAGCAGCAATTGGGCAGCATACTAATGAATGCGCCACGCCTGAGCTCACCCTGCGAAAGTCTGCTTGCCGGCAGCATGTCCATGGCCCTGTGCTACATATCTCGCGTATGTTTCCAACCACTTACTGATTATTCTTCTCCATTGTAATAAATACTCTTCTGCTGTGGCAGCTGCAACGCAATGTTGCCGCTGGCGTCAAGATGCACTCGCGCATTTTGGTCTTGACGGGCAGCAATGAGTGCGCCTCCCAGTACATGACCTACATGAATGTCTTCTTTACGGCTCAAAAGCTGAGCATTGTGATCGACGCGTGTGCGCTGGACAAGACGCTGAGCCTGCTGCAACAGGGCTGTGATATCACCAGTGGACAGTTCCTAAAGGTTACCCAGTTGGATGGTTTGCTGCAGTACTTGCTGTGGGTCTTCATGCCATCGCCTCAGATGCGTCACAAATTGGTGCTGCCACCGCCGCCAAAGGTGGATTATCGCGCCTCCTGCTTTTGTCATCGTGAGCTCATCGATATTGGCTACGTTTGCTCCGTCTGCTTGTCCGTATTCTGCAAATACAGTCCCATTTGCACCACATGCCAGTGAGTATTATTTAGGCAAACAAATACCATTCAGCAACTATTATTCTCATTTATATTCTTCTAGTACCATCTTCAAGACGCCGGGACCACTGCCCATTAAGCCCAAGAAGAAGAAGAAGACTGAGAAACAAATGTGATCCAATTTTCACAACTCGGGTTCAATCTTTGTACGTAACTGTCAAATTATTACAATTACGAAATAAACAAGTATTCTAAGATTTCTATGACTTATTTAAATATCTAGTTAAGATGCGTCATGCACAAACTCGAACTAGAGCTAGAAGCTGTAGATTCCCTAAGAGATTAGTTTAGATAGATACAGGTAAAAGTAAGTGACACTAAAGTTAGGAATACCTTGGGCTGGGAATGGTTTCTTCAAAATATACTATTTATTTCAATCTTCCCACGCCAAACATAAAAGTTTTATATTTGTAAGAAATGTTGAAATGTCCTTTAATGACTTTCATATTTTTGTATTACTAACTAGTAAGTGTTCATGTATCTCGCATAATTTTGCTGAAATACATTGGACCAAAGTTGGCAGGCAAATAGGGTAAAACCATTTGACCATATTTCAAGCCCTTCGGCTGCTCAAATCTATAGATATCCCCAAGGAGAGCGGTGTGCTGGCTCAGATCCTTGATGCGAGTGGTAATGCCATGATCGGTGAAGACCTTCTGCAGCGCCATATGGACGACGCCATCGTTCTGCACCGGTGACAACGAGCACGTGGAATAGACGAGACTGCCGCCCGGCTTGAGCAAACGCAGACAATTGGCCAATATGCCCGCCTGCAGCTCGGGAATGCGTAGACGTTCCTTGATACGTGTCGGCTTGAATATGTTATTGTCCTGATGCATGAGCACATGCCGATCTGTGGTGCAGGGCACATCCACTAGTATCTTATCGTAACTGCCATACTCATCCAAATTCCGAGCATCGTTATGACTGAAGATCAAACGTTTGCCCGCCCAGCGTTGCTTATAGTCGAACAGATATTCCTGCATAACATGGCGTAGTTTATTTAGACGCGACTCCTGCACATCGTTGCACACGAGCTGATCCAGATGCAGCGTTTGCAGCATCAGCAGCGATTTGCCACCGGGTGCTGCACAAGCATCTAGCACACGTTCACCCGGCTGCACCTGGAGGAATAGCGGCGGCAGCACTGACGCCCCATCCATAAGAAAATGTGAGAGTACTCCAGTCAGGCACTGGCGGGGCGGCTTGAAATCGGCACAGTTGCCCATCTCGTAGGTGTAGATGGCCAAGTGCTCGGGATATTGAAGTGTGGCGTCGGGTTCGATGATGAGTGGAAAATCGACGTTAGTTTGGTAGTATTTATAATGCTCGGATTCGGCCACCCAATCCTCCATGCCCTTAATCCTGTTAGCGGGCACATACTCATAGAGGCCGCCAGTGCCGAATTGTGGATCCACCAGGCGACTTTCATCCAATTGCACATCCTCCTCCAAGGCACGCGTCAAACTCTGCTTAAACTCCGTTGACTCCGTCTCAGTTTCGAGCTCATCTTTTTTAGTTTCTTTATCGTATTTCAATTGCTGTGGCGGAACGTGTCCATCCTCGGACGCACTGCTGGGATATATGGCGGCCACCTCGCGTTCCTCTTGCTTTCTCACCAACGCATCGAGCTTGCCATCGATGTCGTAATGAGCACGCGTTGCCAGGTTTAATTCTCCGCCTTCGCCCCCACCAACTTCTCCACTCTCCTGACGCTCCCTTGCCAGCTGAATGAGTGACTTGATGTTGATGGCACCGTCCATTTCTAGCATGCTGCATGTCTGCTCCGTGTCACCGAAATTGTTCACCATGGCAACATATTTGTGCTCGGTTAGCAATGCCGCACGCATATTTTTCCATCGTCCGCCATAAACAGAGCCGTAGAAATCATCGAAACTGTCCAACGCCCGATCGCAGTTGTTCTTCTTGTGCTGCAGCACATTCCAGCGACGTTTGCCACTCTTCCAGCGTCGTTGCAGCATGCAAATGTTGCGTATTTTCAACATTTTCCACAGCCGGCAGTTTCACTACAAACAAGTTGTTCGGGTCAGAGTTGTCGCTCTTAGCGCTGTTTCAAATTTAAAATAATTAATTTGTTTTATTTTTGTTTTAATGGATTTATAGTATTATTACTATTGCAAAATACAATATATAAAATAGTTATGACTTTTTGATTTGAATTAAGTAATTAGATTTAATTTTACATATTTACATTCGATTAAGTCGATGGAATACGAATGTCAGATGTTATCGATAACGGCCTATCGCCTAGGTTGATAAGCAAAAAGATTTTACCAACGGATGTAATAAATCGACTTTGAATATTAGAGCAAATAATGCATTTTTGTTTCATTTGATTCAACTGTAGGAAAAAGCTGCATTTTTTAAGTAAAATAACTTTATTTAATTTAATCAGTAGATCTCTGTTATGGATCTATTTTTCACTTTGTAGTAGAATTAAATTTAACGGCAGACCAAAATTTTATACCGAAAATCTGAAACAAGAGAAAAACTCATAGATTCTACTATTTCATTTTATTAAGGTGTTTACAAAGATTAGCTTTTGAATTCTTGTCGGGTTTAAGTACATTTGCAGGCGGGTATGCATTGAAGAAGTGTCTACAGACGCGCACAAATAATAGTATACTTATTATTATAGGATAACTAAAAACTATAATTTGTATTTGTAGTATTTACAGTCCAGTTTCCAGACAGTTCGGTGCTTGAACTATTCAAAAGTCATTCAAATTAAATTCTGTTATATGATTCAATCCTTGGTAACGAGATTACAATTTATGCCTTCTGTGGTGCCTTAACATCTTTCAGCGGTGTCTTCTCATCCTTAGCATCTGCTTCGCTTTCGGCTTCCGATCGATTCCATGACTGTTCAGCACCCGATCCGAATATGACGAAGACCAAGAACTCAATCGCAAACAAAATGATCGTAACCCAAAAGATTATACGCCAGGCTCCAATATTTTGCTACAATACCAATTAAAGATTACAATTTGACTTATAGATTGCAGACAGCAGGTAATATTTACATTTCCATGGGTAACGAAGCCAACGAACAGGGGCACAATAATACCAGGCAAGGTGGCAGCTGTGTTGGTTAACGCCACCAAAGTGCCAGCAAAATTGGGTGCAATATCAATGTGATTGGACAAGAAGCCAGAGAACATGGCGCCCATAGCAACAATACCAACGGACATGACGAAAACGGCCTCATAGTGACGGCAGCCAATATAGCAGAGGATCAGCAGACATATGCCCGGTATAATGGTACAGATAGAAGTTGCAGTCTTTCTGGCGCAGGTCGTGGTTACCTTGCCTGAAAGAATATATATATGCATATATTAGAAGGGATTATTTATGTGCATATTGAATAGTGAATAATATATATGGAGTAAAGATATTTACACTTACCCTTTGACTGTAGAGTGTCCAAAATCTTGCCGAGGATAATGCTGAATATGATCATGGGGAAATAGGGTAGAGCGCTGAGTGCCGCATTGCTGGCCACATTGAACTTGAGGACCTGCTTCATGTAGAACGGAATCTCGATGAGGAACATATACCAGCCAAAGTTGTTGCATGTGTGCGCAATGAGGATGGCCCAGAATGGCACCGATTTGAACACCTTGCCCCATGGCACCTTCGGATGATGTTCGACCTTTGATTCGGTTCCCAATGAGCTGGTTATCATTTGACGCTCCTCGGCACTAATGAATCGCTGCTTATTCGGATTGTCCTGCACTAATATTGTCCACAACACCATCCAGATGCAACTTAATGCGCCCATCACATAGAACACCGACTCCCAGCCCCAGGAAGAGGACAAGACGCCGGCCAACAAGATGGAGAGTGCCGTACCAGCTGATGTGCCCACATAGATGATGGTGGACATGACCATACGTTCGCTGGGTGGTGCCCACGAAGCAATCATCACATGCATCGCCGGGAATGAGGCTCCTCCGCCCACGCCTTCCAGTACACGCATCAGAATCAATCCGCCGTAATGGGCCTCGGTCAAGATAGGTGTTAACAGGGTGCAGACCACATTGATGAACACCGAAAATAACATGACCCACTTTGCCGAAAAGTTCTCAGCCACATGCGCCAATGGTATCTGCGAGACAAGATATCCCCAGAAATAGCAGCTGAGCAGGGTGCCCTGCAGCGGTTCACTCCAGGCAAAGGGTCCATCCTGTGAAGACAATTGAATGAATTTACTTTCAAAATGGATCAAATATTGGAAAAAGATATAGCCAATAATTTGTTAACAAATCTTCGAACAGAATTCTAAATATCATTTATGTAGCTAGGAAAACGCCTTTATTATTTTTGCAAAGTTATAGCAAAATATTTTTTGGTTTGTCAAGTTTTAAGACATTAATAATAATAAAAAGTAATTTCAATTTCTATGGCATATATATTTTGCTTAATGTGATGATACCTACCTCAACTTTGGGCGCTACATTGGAGGCATCACCGGGTGGCGAGCATGTCTCAATATCCACAATTTTGGTGGCATTCAAGAGGTTGTGGTTACCGCTGCCTTTCTCCTGATGCATGTGGATAGCCGTGTGGTTCACCATGGCAACCATGGCGACACTAAGATTCACCTTCAGGCCATAGACAATGGCCATGCCAATGGATCCAAGTATAGCGAGCACATAGCGTGCGGGCACGAGTTCTACAAATGCAAATCACAAGTCGATTAATTCGTGTTTTTTATTTATTTTTGGTTTTTGGGATTGGTCACCGCCACTTAAGCCCATCGTTTGAGGCAGACGACGTCGTAATTGTCGCTGCTCCCTGATAAGAAAATTGACATTTGTATGATATTTATTTTCAAGTTCATATTCGGGTTTGACCAAAGAACGGCGACAAATTGATGGTAAAAAAACATTAACATTTCTTAATTGTTCAGTCGTTATCGCAAAAGTGCAAATTAAAACAGTTTCCAAGTTCTTTATTTATGGTTTGGATAAGGGAGTCTAATCTTGACAGCGATTTGCAGCTAAGTACTTAGCTAATCAGCTAACCAATACCGAAAAAAGTAGACTAAAAATATTCCAAAGGATTCGTAAAGAACAATGAAAATAAAGTACAAATACAAATTCAATACAAGTTCAGCATAAAAGATACATAAATTTTTCATAAGCCAAATGCAATCAAATTATGAAAGTAAAAGCTTAGGTAAACAAATTTATAGCAGTACTTAATGATAAGCATTTGGTATATAATTTGATACAAGCCAAAACAGAAGGACAAAAAGACATTTCAGCCATTTATTTATACTAGCTAAATCCGCACATAAATTTCCATATTCATTTGTTGGCCTAGGTAAGTTGACACAATGTGTATTTTGGCAAACGTCAAGTAACGAGAATATTTTTGCCAATCGCATTGACATCCAAATGACCTTAGGCACAGGCCCAGCTGCCAATGTTAAATCATTTGTTTTGGACAAAGACAGGATCCAAACCAAATGGAAAGCCATAATAAAAATTTGTAGGTTGTCCCGCCTAATATTGAACTGACAGGATATGACACAGATATAAACGCACACAATGATATATACACATACAAGTATATATATATATAAACAGGAATACACACGCGCACGACCTTTGGGCGGTATTTGAGGTCAAACATGTCTTGGGCTGAACGATTTCCAAAATATAACCAATAGTTGCATCAGGCTAACAATCCAAACAGCCCCAACAACACTTGTTGCACTTGCACTCGATGATGCACTCGGCTATTGCATTGGTGAAATTATGCCTCATGCAATATGCCACATTTATATTTGGTTTTTTAGCTGGTTTTGATTCTCTTTGCCCACTTACTGCCCAAGATACTGCCCTTGGCAGGCACTTCCTCCACCATTTCGAAAGTGTTTTTTAAATTATTTATTTAAGTGTATAAGAATTATTTCTATCTGGCCAAACTGTTAACTATTACAACAGCAAACTCTAAATACGACGCGTGCTTTGCCAGAGGCAGCTGCTCAACAACTAAAATCATTGCTGGATTCCCGCTTCTGACGACGCGACGTAACGCAACACGACGCAGTTTTCATATTTTCGGTAAAATTCGTGTTTTTTTTTCTCATTCTCATTTCAAGAGCATGTTTTCATACACAACACACTGAGCGAAAAAAGCTGTCCAGCAGAGCAGACTGATTTGATTTGTTTTTTTCATGCTTCCATGCTCTTTCCTGGAACTTTTATGCCCTGATAAGCTGATAGTTAAAAGCTTGAAAACTTCGAATATGAATAACTGCGCTACGTAATGATGTTCAGAATTTTAAAAATATATTTAAATGTTTCACGAACTCTTCTAAATGCGAACAACGAGATTACAATCTATTGATTTTTGTTAGTTTGTTTTAGCTTGTGAAATAAACACATCGTTTTCTGTGTTTTTTGTCAGTGTGTTTCAGCGTCGACACTGGGTCTCGGTGGAGTGCCGGGTCCAACGTGCAGAGAGTGCGTGCCTGTTGGCTTGCGCGTACCTTTGGCTGTATCTGTCTTGTATCGACAAGTTTTCGCTCAAACATTTTGTTGTCATACTGTGAATTCCACAAAAGCATGTAAGCATAGCTGCCACATTCCACAAAATATTTCAAATTCGTTCAACTTGGTTGCCGTGGTCCAGGCTAAACAAGCTGTTAGGTTGTTGTCTTGGCTAAATGCGGTCTTCTTCTTTCGGCATGCTAAAACATGTTGATTAAAATCTATTAATCGCACATATTACATATTATATAATTCCAATTTGATATTCGTGAATGGCTCACCAAATGTTATACAACATAACTGTAGGTGAATATTTATAAATAAATAATTCAGTTGTACAAATGAAATACTAGAAATTCCCTTCGCGTTTACCCAATTTTTATTGAACCAATTGCTTGGTTTAAAAGTTCGCCGATTTGTAGCACACTTAATTAGGCATTCAAAACGCGTGCATAAAATAAATATAAATTGTCTAATCATCATGTCCATCCAAATAAAGAAAACATATTTCTTTACAAAAAACTTGTCTTGTTTTTGTTTGACCACTTTGTTTTTTTTTTTTTATCAATTTTGCTCTAGCTTATTTACTAGTTTAATAAGCAATTTGTGCTAACAATTAGCGGTTAGTTTACTGACTCCCAGACTTTGTAGAGGTGCAAATTAATAATTTAATAATCATTTAGCGTGTGTTTATCAGTTAAACGGTTTTATTTTAGTTTTATGTGGATATATATGAGGGCATATGGAGCTTTAAATAATTTGATTCTTATGTTCAGCAACAAATAGTACACATTTATAAATAAACCTGGAGTAAACAAATACAGAATGTGATCATTTACTCAATGGTTGATCTTGTTTTGTATTAATAAGAGATATTTTGTAAACAATAGTGAAATATTTAACATTTTTTCTGCTGTTGATGATCATAGAAATTTAGCACAAGGTGCGTATTTTTCCAGTTAGCCATCAGGCTGTTGGATTTTATAGAAAGTTGTATAGTAAGTTTTATACAAAACTAAATTTTCGGTATTAATTTTGAAATATATTTTGTTCTATGTTAAAGTGCAAATTTGTACAACTTTAATTTATCTGCTTCCTTATTTACCAACAGATCAACTGAAATGCTGGCCCAGTTTTCCACCGTAATGATTATGTATGCAAATGCGTCAACACTTCAGTACGGGAGTTGCCAGTTGCCAGTATTCCCCCCCCGGCAGTCGTCCCCCGACTGCTTAACTGCTGGTCGGCATTTGGTAGACAGCTAAGCTCGTACATATATATAGAAATAAATATTAATGGATTCAATTGTTGTTGTCGTTGCTGTTTGCCACTCTTGTCCAATGTTTGCTTTATTTTTTATATTTTTTGTTGTTCTCGTCTTTTTATTTGCTTTTTTATCAGCCTGTTTCCATATGGAATATTGAGGGAGCATATACAAATATACATACTCTGTGAGTAGTTGGAAGCCGTACTCGTCAAAATGAATTGCCAATATAAATATTGAATACACTCAAATATTCGAGAGTTTCTTTTGTTGGGTGTTATATTCTAAGTAAATGTAGGTGCTGTTCTTAGTTTCCTGTTGCAGTGTGTTTCATATTCGTACAGTCAGTCAGCAACATAGTTATTTATTCATTTGCTTTAGCTAATTCTAATGCATTTTTTGTTTATTTTTTTGTTTGTGTAGTGACGGGCTCTATGGGCCATTACTTCTCCAATTCCGACAATAGGTGGATCTGGGACGTGGACATGGATGGTGCGTTCTATGCCTCGATGGATGCTGCTCTATTGTGAAGTTGTAAATATGGTACAGCATTAATATTGGTATAATTCAAGACATATCAATTCTATCAATTTATATTTACGCGTGTATTCCGCTTATAGACAGTTTAATTGGTTTTTATTAGATTTCTGCACATACTTTCAATAAAAACCGTATATATGCTTATATTTCATTCCATCTATTTAATTTCGTTTAGTTGTTAATTGCCTTTCATTGAATTGCCTGCCAATTTTCGTTTATTTTACTCCATTTCCAATGTTCGTTGACAATAAAATTGTCAATTTCAGACTATAATTTTATCAATGGGTAGATTACGTAGAAAGTGTATATCACTCACGCATCTATAAATGTTGGCGCTTTTGTTCTGACTTCAGTGCATTAATTATAATAATAATTTACTTTTTTTGTAAGTAACCCGTATCTGTATAGTTACAATACATTATAATCATATTTATTGATCATAAATATTATGTTTCGATGTTATGAGCAATTAAAACTTATATTCCAGGGTATTTTTCAGACATCTCCGAGTCTTCGTTACTGTCTGGTTGACAACAGAATCCAAATATGCCACATCAAAATTCGATGTAGATTCTCACTGTAAATATTGTCGTGCGTAGTTTTTGCTGCGCCATTTGTGACGTCATTGTTTTATGGAACAACTAACACAAATCAACACTGTCATTTATTGAATTGTCTATATTTAAGTACATGGCGCCTGTCTAATAACTCAGTTATAGGCAGGAAGTTATTACATATTTATAGTTTAATATTTATAGCAGTAAGAAACAGAACAGAACTCAACAGAAATTCGGACTTTGGACAATTATTGGCCAAGATACAACAGTTTCAATTTGGAAACAGAAACAGATATAGGAGTGTGCTGGCAGCAATTAAAATGGGATTATCGAATGTTATTTTTATGACAAGCTAAAATTCTTTGCATGCCAATATTTTATTTCTAGTGTGTCGAGTTGTGAGAATGTCTAATAATAACATTATTATTATAAAGTAAAATATTATTATTAAACTTACTTACCGCGACTTACTCGATCTATTGTGCCCCCTTCCATCATCCCCAGTTCCCTCTGAAATTCAAAACATGCATCCCTAGGATGCTATGCCTTCTTCTAGTTAAGGCGACACATTCTGCTGGGATGTGCATCGAGGATTCCTCCTCTCTTTCACAACACCTGCACAGATCGCTACTATATATACCTAGTTTAGTTAGGTGACTTCTTAGTCTACAGTGTCCTGTCAATAGACCGGTGAGTATCCTAAGGCTGTTCTTTCCCATGGTTATAGCTTGCTTAAATAATAACATCATAGGGCTTAGTGATAGTAATCTGAAATCTAATTAGATTTGTTGTTGCCAAAAATCGATCAAAAATAAGTATTTCTTGAAAAGGCAGTTTATTGATTGAATAGTGCTGAGAAAATGGCAGCTGCATGCATAATTTTGACGTATTTAATACTCGCTGATAAACATATTAATCTGTTATAGAACTAACAGCAGTCAAAAACTGTGCGAATATCGCAAATAAAATAGCGAAATTTTACTTATCTGTATCAACCACTTAATAAATAATAAAAGCATTTAATTTGAGGTTTTTCAAACCAAAGATATTTTTATTTATTGAAATTAATCATAAATCAGTTTTATATGTGAAACTAATAAAAATTAAGCTCGCATAATATACGATAACATATTAATAAAAGGCCAAAATATTTGTTGATGACCCAATGAAAAAATACATATTTCAAAATTGTATATGTAATTTCTTTCGAGTGTTTATAAGTATTATGGTATGTTAGACGCACACATTGTATTTAGCTATTTATAATTTTTAATATACTTTGAAATAAATGTGTATATAAGTATGTATAAGTATGCATACATATATACATATATGTATATATATATACATATATATATATATATATTTCATTATTCAATGTTTTCAATAAAACAGTCAGACAATTTTCATTAAAATAAATAAACGCGTTTTCGTACGCCGCTGCTTAAACCGGCATAGTATATTTTCAATATGTTATGCGCTGAGCCACTTAATTTTTGACAAATAGTATGCATAATTTTATAATTGTATACATATATTTCGATTATTATAAATAATAAATATATATATATAAATGCTAATATATCATTTTAAGTTGCATGGATATTTTAAATAGTTTGTTAGACAACATCTGCATCTGCATAAAAGTTGTTGCTATTCACTCAGTAAATAGTGTAAATAGTGTAGTACAGTGTAATGGCGCCTCCTCCTTGTAAAAAAATTAAAAAACACTTAAAGCAAATTGACAGACAATCTGTTGCCGCTGAGCTCATTTTAAAGTAATTATCATACGTATCTATCGATTGTTTTTGTTTGTAGATAAACGATTCATTCAATTTTAAATAGTATTTTCGTTTTTACGTTTTTTTTTTTAGTTTTCTTTTTGTACTACTTGGGAAGCCTCTAGTTTTGATATTAGACAACTATATACTGATAGTGTTGGCGTTTCATTGGTTTAATTGTACAGTTTGTTTTGGGGGTCAAAGACCTTGACATAGACATTGACATTGATTAAAGTAAGGTTAGGTATAATCGAAGTTAGATTAGTTTAGGCATAGGTAAGTTCGCATTGGACAAATTCTGTCAACCCTGTTGTAAGTGTTTTAAAAACATCGGTTTTGATTATGTTCTTGACAATACAATACTCATATTTTTATATGCATAGATATATTTAATTTTCTTTCTCAAATTCAAAAATTGCATTTGACATTGACTCTTTTGTTTTTTCATTAAATTCAATATTTTGTAATTTTCTTGTATTTATTTATTTCTATTTGCAAACTTGGGCAACGATAAATTTATTGGGAATTTTAGTTTCTCTTCGAATAGGGTTACCAATAAAAATGGAAAGCTCAGCTTAAAAGCTTTTATTTTCTTTTCTCGCTCTCTCTTTTCCAATTATCCTTTATCTCTCTCTCTCTCTCTCTCTCTCTCTCTCTCTCTTTCTCGTTGGCTTGTTCTACTTAAGTATCGTTCGGGCCCTTTAGTAGAACTTCTCGCCATAATAGCTGGGACCACGTTCGCCCACCGGTTCGTTCATGTACTGGCTCTGGTTAACCGAACGCTTCTTCTTGGCCACCATGAATCGCTTGGAGGAGCCAAAGCCTGAAAAGTGAGTGAATGGAATATAGCAATCAGTATATAGTTTCACTTACTATGCTCAAGGATACACTTACGGCTGTTGCTGGCAACGTATTTCTGTGGGCGTGGCACATACTCATACTTGGGCACAACCTGCGCGTCCACGGGCACGCCATAATAGTCCACCAGAGCGGGTGACGCCTGTTGTTGCTGTTGCTGCTGTAGGGGCGCATCCACCCAGCTGCCAGCAGGCACATAATCCAGTTCCTCAGCGTCTACAAGGGGCACAGAAACAGCGCTATCCACATCACTCTCCTTGCGTGCTCGCTCACCGGCTTCAACCAGGGCAACGAGGGCTAGCATATCAGCTGGTGTCAGTTTGGTGGCGTCACGCTTAAGACTGTGCAAGGAAGGGAGAAAGCAATGAAAGTTACTTGGTTATTATTATGGCAGTTGTGTGGCTCATACATTTTTTAAATAAGTTAAATTATATGTGTATGCAATCGAGAATATAAAATTTCAACTATCCTTTAAGATTTGCTTGCCTTCCAAAATGTACACAAGGGATTTCTTTTAAAAGAAACATATTTACCTAAAAACAATTGAAAACTTTCTGCAAAAAGAACTCTCAATTAAAGCCCCCTAAACAATTATATTTTATATGACTTTGTTTGCTTTTATTTAGTCATTTATTCGCCTAAAGGTTCCCCAGTACTCTCATCAGCTAAGCAAATAATTTGAAGATATTTGAATATGTGTAAGCTTTAAAATTGTATAATGTAAAATATTTCTATGGTATTTAAGATAAAATTCAGACATACCGCATATCTCCATAGCGACGATACTTGTTCAGATTGATATTCTCGCTGGGAGCATTAGCAGCAGCCGCATTATAGTAGATGCCACGCTTGTTGCGCTCATCCAGGTTGTAATTGCGATTGGCATAGGTAAGTGGCACCGACAGCGGAATACTCTCTAGATAGGCCTCAGCATTCAGCAGATTCTGTAGATTATCATAGGCCTTGCTGCGACCAGTTTGTGAGTTGACTGCGATAAGATAGACATTCTAGTTAAAGCGAGAATTTGAATTATGAAAATGGTACTTACCATGTCGCTCTGGCACATAGTCATCCAGTTCCTGCATTTCCCGCTCATTGTTATAGTTATTATAGCCGTTATAGTTGATGGGCGCAGCGGGCTCATAATCATCGGTCCAAACACCGCTGGGCACATCGCTGCTATAATCGTTAACCGGAACGGCCATATACGGATTATACTCATAGTTAATGCCACGCTTGCGCATTGTGGAGCTGGCCACCGCTTCCTCCAGAGCCGTCGGCTCACTCTGCACCATCTGATTGCTATGGGTGGCAGCGGCGACAGCAGCAAGTATCTCATCATTGCTTGGTAGGGCATAGATACCACCTAGAGGCTGCTGCTGCTGCTGCGACTGTTCGCCGTTGGGGACGCTGCGGGCCGGTGAGTTGCTAAAAGTAGCGGGCACAATTTCCGGACTTGACTTTTTATCGGCTGATGGGACTATGGTCGCACTGGATGCCGTCACATCCTCCCCTCGTTTCACTGAAATAGAAAATTAAATGTAATTTGTTGTTGCGTGCTTTTAGGCGTCGCTGCGAATTTCAATTTATGTGGCTGCTTGATTCAATAAAACGGCGGAGGCCAAATGCAATTAGCCAAGCTGGCCACCATAATTTGTTTCATATTCTCTCCTTCTCTACCTTTTTTTTTATTATCGCCAGCATTGCTAATTGCTATTAGCGCTGTCAAAGTCATGTTTATGCAATATCAGTTGAGTTGGTTTATTCCCCCTCCCCCATAACAACTAATACCCATTGACATCATTATCCCTAATCATATTTGCTGTAGCGACAGCGTTGCGGAAACGCTAATTGAATTGACTTAGCTGGACCTGATAATCCAGCAATTAAAGTTGAGTTAACACTTGGCAAAACTAACTACCAACTGCCATGCGAAAATGGTCATGAGTAACGCACATGTCCATCGCCCCAAGCCCCAAACGGTTATCAGACATATCAGAAGTGTTTTATATTCAATTTTTTTTCTATGGGACAACTCGATTAACGCTCCACATTTTTATGGGGATTTTCCTGTGACCTGGTTTATCTTTTCAGCACACCATATTGTTGAGAGGTGTTTTCAATTGATTTTTATGATAACAATTTGTGCAATCGGAGTGTCAAGTGGTAAACAATTGATGAACAATGATTTATTTGCTTGTACATACTACGCTCAGTAATAAAAATTGCGTAAATATGCTTGATCATTGTGCATTTGGAAAGACCAGCGATAAAAACCCATATTTATCTGCCTAAAAATTCCAAACTATATGTCATTACTAAACCGATTGCAATGGAATGGAAATTCCTTTATCATTTTGAATGAAATATTAATACATTTAATTCCTCAGAAATTTTTATTTCAAACTTATTGATTTGTCTTGGACTACATTATTAACTCGTTTGAGTGAAAGCTGCATGCGATATTAATACATTTCCAATAAATATATATTGGGCTAATAAGCTTTTAGGTACATTGTGGCCTTCATTTAAAGTAACCCAGTTTCCATAAGCATTTTATTATGGTGCCCGTTGTCAGCAACTTGACCATATGTTTGCCTTGTCAAATGCTGCTAAGAGCTCCGTCATGAGCCTTGAGCCTTGGCTAAATGTGTACAACATGAAACAAGAAAGTAAGAGAAAAAAAAACAAGAACATATGTACATATATACATAAAAAATGAATTCGTTCCCTGCCCAGTTTCGTCTGGATGTCCTCCGGCGAGAAAAATTGTGCACTGGGAGGCAGCAGTGCTAGCGGGGCATACATAAATAAATAAAACAGGCAACTAAATTATATGCGCTGACGTTTGCTGACGTCGTCCTACGCGTTGTCATTGTCCTCGAGTGTTGTTTTTGTTGTCGCTCCTAACATGAAAATATTCAGTGAACTGTAAAAATATCAACAAGTTGTTTGCTCTTCAATTTTTGCCACACACACACTCACACACATAAAACACAAACGCACACACGCACAGTTGTGCACAGAGTTGTGATTGCGGTGGCCTGTGGCTGGAGGCCCTTGTTCTCGTGGTTGGCCAGGGCTAGCAGCTGCTCTGAATAACAAGAATCAAGCTCAAGCAAGTTGGCAACAACACAATTAACGTCCGCAGGCATTTCGGCCTGAAAATAACTTAATAATAATGGCATATGGAAACTTTGCGACATCAAAATGAAAATATGGCCAGCCAAAGCCAACTTTACTTTGCGGTCAACCATGGCGTTGACTTTGCAATTGACAAGCTTCAATGATTATTTTCTGAAACCACAACGGCTACTTTCGCAACAATCAAAGACAAGGCGTATATATATTTAAATATGTATTTATTATATTGATATATAAATACATAAAGAATGTCCCGCTGCTGCTGTAAAAAGCAAGAAATATGCGACAACGCCTCAGATATTTGAGCTCTATTGGCGACTTGACGGCAAACAAAAATGTGTTGCATACTTTTAAGCGAGCCTTGAAAATGTTAAGCAAACCAACACAAAGAAAGGCAAATGGCGTCAGGGCAACAACGAAAACAAAAAAACAACACAGCAAAAAGCAAACGGCAAAAACGGCTGCTCCACTCAAAGTCTAAAAATAGAAATGAAATCGCGCCCACATACATACACACACACACACACACATACATACACACAGTGACACACACACGCCCCACTTGCATACCAAGGAGGCTGTCCGCCATTTTGTGCAGCAGCCGCCCACGCATTGCGTAGGTGTGTGTACACGTATTAACATACGTGTGTGTGTGTGTGTTTGTATGTGTGTATATCCATATCCATTTGTATTATGACTCGCAATGATTGTAATGTTACAATAAGCCAGCTCGCCGAGCAGTGCAAAGCAGCAACATCAACAACACCCAACTACAACTACAACATTGACAACAACAATGACAGCACCAAAAAATATCTTTTGCCTAAAGTCGACTGAGTTACAAGCTGCTTGCTGCTTGCTGCTGCTCACCAGCTGTCGAGCTGCCTCTGCGGCAAAAACACCTACGCAATTTCCTGCAAGCCCAACAGCGGAAAATGGAAAGCGGGCGGGATATTGCGATAGGTGGGGCAAAACGGAGATGAGAGCACAGACAGGATGCTAGGTGGTCCGTTGCCTTCTGGTTTTTAAACGCGCGCGTGGGCGTTTTGCTTAATGTGCTCAACTTACAAGTTTCTTACAGACACACACACATACAAATATGCATATGTACAGTAAATCACAACTAAGCTGAATTGAGTTTTATACAATTTTTAGTTTACATATAAAATTGGCATAAAATGCGTTCAAAATTGATTTAATACTCGTATGCTTGCCACACTGAAGATCAACGCCCGATTCACCAGTTTGAACTCGAAAAGAAATATGAAAATCAGCTGTACTTTTATAATATGGAAATCAATTTTTGTGTACAGTACTTTATTACTGATATTATAAAATTAAAATTACATATTCATTATGTTTTTTCCACAATCTGAAAATCGTTGTCTCTTAAAGGTATAATAATAATAAATTAAAATATGTATGCTGGTTTTAAAAAAAAAACGTTGTCTCTTAAAGGTATTTTTATTAATTCATTATTTTTTTTTAAATGAAGTAAAATCTTTTAAAATTTTTTTTAAAAAATTAGAGAACATACTTCTTTTTTTTTTAATATGTATGTTTGATTTAAAAGCAGTCTTTTAAAATGTATGAAAAAAGATGACAAAAAATATATTTATAATTTTTTTGCAATCTTCCACTTTAAATATTTGTAGATATAAATATATTTAGTTTTGAAGCATATATCTGTTTAATATATTTTTTGATATCAAGCTCTTGTCAACTATTTACATTGTGAAAACTGCTATTCGAGAACATTTGCACTTAAATCGGAATCATGTTTTGGAGATATAACATAATAAAACACAATTTTAGACTTCTTAAATCTTAGCGCTTCTGTTGAATAAAAAATCAATCGAAACTTATTTGTAAACTAAAGCTTGCGATGTGAACCGCTGTGGCCTGCACAAAAATACAGAATTGCACACTTTAGTGAGTATTTACTGTACACTTATGCGGCACTCACTTACAATACCGTGGGGCCATGGGACGTGTGTCCATTTTTCAAACATGAAATTTTCGAATGACCTTTAGCATTAACTACAAGTTGGCCTGACGTAGGCTACTCTAACACACACACACACATAAACAGACACATTTACATACATATAACAAGACCCACGCACTCGGAAAAATTGAACTTTAACACTCACCTGCCGGCAATTCCCGTTGCTGCTGTTGCAACTGTTGTTGCTGTTGCTGTTGCAGCTTGTTGTTCGCATTGGTGGATAGCTCCGTATTCTGGGCGAGCACAGATGCTGGCACCGCTGCCGCCAGTTCAACAAATAGCAGCAGCAGTCCCAGCCCCAAGCAATGCCCATTTCCGGCCGCTGACAATGACAATGGCAACTGCATTATTCCCGAAACGCACACACACAAATAACAAATACACAAGGCACACAGACAAACTAAGTGGGTTTGCTCAGTGTCCCAATTATGGGTCTGATCAGGTTTGACCCTTTTTGTTGTTTGCTATTTGCTGCTTCTTCAACTGTTTGGCCCGTTGGGGTTCAGAGTACAGGCTGCTTGTTGGCTGCTTTGCTCCGCGTGCTGTGATGGTTCTGAATGAACTGTCTGCTTACTGGCGTAGTGCAACAGTTTTTAATGTTCCATCGCCCCAAATTCCGTTTGCAGACACGGCCAGCGCAGCAACATCTGTCTATCTCTGTCTCTGTCTGCACACAGAAACCACCATCTACGTCATTGTCATTGATAAGAATTGCGGCCGTCTGCAAAACTCAGAACGAATCCAACTGCCTGCTTACGTATTTAGCTCCACAGAGCCTGGCCAACTTGGAGTCGCATTGCGCCTGCTCCATGTCTGCACAGCACAATTATTATGCCCCTCTCATATCAGAAATTTTGTGAAAACTGTTGCCCTCTGCTAATGCCTAATGGAGTTGTCTTCTCTGGTTCCATTTGTGAACTCGATAAACGCATTACGAGTTTATTTGTGACGCTATTTAGTAATGAACATTGTATGAACTGAGCTACCTTAACGGAATTCCACAACTTTGTCAAAAGCAAGACGGCCTTTTGCAAACGATTTGACTTCTAAATGAATTAATTTAACATTTTTGAATTTAATTGAATTGATTTGTCGAATATAATACATGTTTATTTATACGTTGTTTAATTGTAATAAATATTTGTTATAATCTTTACATATTGTAAGTCTCAAGGCTTCTAAGGTAAGTTTATTTCGTTTATTTGAACTTAGAATTTAGTTTTGGGTTAGAACAAATCGCATTCAATTTTAATTAGGTTAATTTTCGTCGTCCTGTTTTTGTTTTGTTTTGTTTTGTTGTCGGTAAAGTGTGTTGTATGTTACAGTTGCAGCATGTCCCATTGATTTAAAAGTTTAGACTACAATTTGTCAGCTAGTCGAAGGAAATCATTGCCAATTTATAGTTAGTATAATTAGACCGTTCTCAGAGAACAGAGCGAAACGCATTGCTTTTTGTATGTGTCCTGTGTGTGTTAAAATAAGGATGTGGATTAACCATAAGGCGTGACTAATGGGGGACTTCAAGTCCCGATCTCCACTACTTTGCATTGTCGAGCACCTGCACAATGTGTTTGGAGACCAGAGCGGTGGCCTCTGTTGCATTTGGTATGAGAAATCGATCCATGTCGGTGATGAGCAGACCATCGCCATCGGGAAATCCGTATTTGAATGTGATCAAATCGCGATGTCGCTTCTTGGCTGTGATCTTTACAATGCTCGCCAGCGGTCTTCGGACCATTATCTGCGCCTGACCACGTCCCAATTCGCGCAACACCACCAGATGTGTGGGCGTTATTATCAGATGGCTATCGTACATATAGCCATTTATATGGACATCCTGACACTTGAACGCATTGATGATGTCCGCCGTCTTGAAATATTGATTAAGATTGACAATTTCCTTCGTATCGCCGGCCGGCTGAGGCGCATCACGTTCATCTCCATCGTAGGCATCCTCGTTCTCATCGTCAATACTGAAGACGGGCGCCACATTCCGATAACGTTTCCCGTTGCGCTCCTTGGCGCTCACATGACGCTCCTGGGCGGGCAACGATTGGGCTCCGTTGCTGGAAGCGCCGCCGGCGTTGGGTGCACCATTTGCACCACTCGGATTCACAATGATGTCCATCAGACGTCCCTTGACCTCGGCCGATTTGGACTTCATGGCTGCGGAGAACTTACTAAACAGATCGGAGGAGGACGGCGTAGTCGCTGGCGCTTTCAGCGGCACGGTCTTTGACTGTGGACATGGAATAGCGATTAGTCACAGGTTTAAATCTGACCAAGGAACACATCCTCAAACATATTAAACTTAACTTATTTGTAACTGGTTAAAGCAAATCAACAATTTTTAAAAAGGGACATTCAAAATTTAGGCAATTCTAAGTTGCAAATAAGCCTAGATTAATAAATCAAATTTAATGAAAAATATTGTTTTATATATATTTTTTATATAGAAATATTTTTAGATTTTGGATTCAAAACGTCTTGGATTACTACTACTTTGTGTAGAGATTTTATTTTATTGGGTATTGGCAAAATGGAAAATTTTGATTATAAATCTGAGTTATACTGCTTAGATGAACTGAGAAAGGGACAAGGCTATAAGGACATAGCTCATTTGCGTTTCGATAATATAATTATACAAATTACCTGCTTCACATTGTGCTGCTGACAGACGAGACACTTGCTGACGCTGTGATCCTCGAGGCAATCGGCCATGTGATCGCCAAAATAGTCGTGGATGGAGGCGTAGCCACCGGTGAGCAAGGACACGTAGTGTGTGTTCTTTTGCAGGAATGAGGCCACCACCATATGCGTGTACTGATCCTCCTCGACACGGCCGCTGCCCATGAAACACAAATGCTCACCGCCCGCATTTGAATTTACCTCAATGGCCTGTTTCTGGGCGGTGAGCAGACCCTGAACAGCTGTTGCGAATGCCAACGGCTCCTGCAGCATCAGATTGCAGTCGAGATGGAATGCCGTTGACAAATGGCCGGCATTATACTGTTCAGCTGGACGACAATCGACGAGAAAGAATCGAACGGCATCTGGCACTGGGAATTCGGTGGCAGAATTCTCTACCAGTTCGTAGACGGAAACAGGCAGGCAAAGAGCCTGTGATACTTTATTGGACTCCTCCTGGCTGCGCGGCGAATCGTTCTGTTTGCCATAAAGCGCCTTCAGATAGTCCGTCTTGAAGGATGAGGGTGTTTTCAGCGCATAGTATTGGGCGAGTGAGCAAAAATCTGGAACATCATCCACCTCCAAAGCGCACGGCATATTGATGAGAAATTTCATAATGTCCTCCTTGGATGACGTCTTCATTGCCATTATCTGATCGCGTCCATTGATCAGTATGATCAGAGCCAAAAAGAAGACCATAAATGGGTCGGCATTCTGAAAATATAAATCCCACATGGCGATAATCACAGATAAACTGCTGCAGTTGGCAAACAGTGATTGGAACCATGTCAGCGAATATAGATCGGGTGTTATCTTCTTCGTATCCAGCACGGTGCACAGCTCCGGATCATGGTAGAGCAGCAGCAAACGAAATACGTGGAAGACATTGCCCTTGGGCTTGCAACCCTTTGGTATATAAGTGTCCCTGATAGCCTCAAAGAGATTGAACGTATCGGAGCGATTCAGTTTGAGAGCGAAGAGCGGCAGGAGTAGTTCAATCCAACCGTTCTCTGGCTCATATTGTAGATTACGATTCTTGCAATAGAATGTCATTATCGATTCTAGATCGGAGACAACGGACACTTTGTCCTCCTCATCGTTGCCCATGCGTTCCACAATCCGTTTGCAATCCTCACGCAATTGACTTTGAAATGGAAGATCGTAGATCTCATTGAAGAGCGACATCTGATCGCTTTTGTGCCGCACATCGAGGCACACCTGCCACACATCCGGACGCAGTGCCTCCGGTAACTGCTTCCCCTGACATATCCCATAAACCTCATTCACCGTGCAGTCATCCAACAGCGCCGATTCCAGCTCAATTATCCTGCATACAAAAAGATCTTATTTATTTTTCTTTTATTTTTTCTAAATGTAATACAATTTTTATTTAAATGAGTTAAGTCCCAAGTAAATCGTTTCATGTCAATTTAAAGCAAAGATTTTGAAGCCAGAAGTTAAAGAGAAATGGAGTGAGTGTAACAGAAATGCGAAAGCTTCGGTCAACTGATCAGTGAACTCTCAAAGCTTTCTTTCATTCACACTCACATTCAGAACTGGTAATGCGTTTGTTTGCGCTGCTTTCAACGTGTCCAATTAGCACAGCTGTTGCTGATAAGACAAAAGCTGTTCACCGTCTTCTTCCACTATCTGGCTCTCTATCTATCGCAACGGTATGTCACCCAACAGCCCCACGGCAAGGCCAATCAGACACATAGTCCTCAATAACAATTCTCAATAAAGAGCTTTTTACAATAATTGATGACATTACATAGGACTGACGCGGCGTTGTTGCCGACGTCGACTGTTAAGCTGAAACTGCAGATGCGACTGCGACTGATTTTGTCAATGTTTATTTACCACATATTCTCCTCCATGGCCGACACGCTACATATACAGTTGTTTTGCAAGGTTGCTGCCGATTTTAATGCTTCAGTTTCTTTTATTGCACACTTTTTAGCTGCTGCAACGTACTTTTGTGCATTTTTGGCACGTTATTAATGTAGAACTTTGTTAATATTCGCCAAAAAAAATTGCTCTACCATGAGTTAATGTTTTTTTATTGGAAGTATCTGTGGTGGCATGTCGATAAATATTTGTGCAACACAACAAGAGTGCTGCCAACTGTTTGCGTGTTGCCGTCTCGCTGTGAATGCTAATGATTTTAGTCCGCTGGCAAAATTGAGCAAAACATTGAATTTAAACGCTTTAAGTCAATGCAGCTGTAGCAGTTTGTGAATAAAATAAAATTTTTAAAGTGCAGAAAACTATTTGCTGTTGTAGACAGAAAATACTCTTCACTGGCCAACTGGTGAAACGTCTTCGAACTAAGGTAAGGCTTGGGGTAAGTGCCCCCGAGCTCTCACACACACACACACACACAAAGATGCAAGCCAAACAGAGCTGTAAAAACAAAAACAAATGCGTTATTTTTTGCATTGCTACAACAAATGGCACACACATACACATATATGTATATATGTGAACATGTATACAAACAGATGCACACATTGATGCAGCCTTCACCTAAATAGTGCATCTATTGATTTTTTGCATATGCATTTGCATTGCCAAGCGGCATACTTGCAATATTTTCGCCTTGGCATTTCAATTCATGTGAGCCTTTGTGTGTGTGTGCCTGTGTTTGTTTTTTGAACTCCTGTGTTAATAGCCAGACAGCAACAGCTGTCCTGTCCTGTTCTGTTACTCTTACTCCCCCCTATCTTTCTCTCTCTCACACTCCCTTTTATGGCTTGCTCTAAAAAAAACTAATTTGTCTTCTTTTTACACACTGTTCTCAATAAAATTAATAAAAATGAAGCTAAACATGATGAAGTTGTACATGTGAATAGTACGCACATTATATATAGATTGTTATATAATAATTTTTTTATTGTATTATATAATTCGCAGCTGCGGTGCAGTGTATGTTTAGTCGGCTCGAGTATTTTGTGTTGACTTTGCACTTAGCCACGTGTAATTTTTGGCATTTGCATAGCTGCACGTACTTACAACACACACCGCTACTTGCGACTAATAGCGTCTCTTTGCTTGCAGATGAAACAACGCGCTGCAGCAAATAGCAACAACAACTCGTTTACCAGCGACAACAGCAATAACAGCAGCAGCAATATTAACAATAACACCAGCTTCGGGCAGCAACAGCAGCAGCAGCAATTGCAGGCATCGACAACAGCTCAGAAACAGCAAAAACAGCTGTCAAAATCATCGCAAATTGTAACGGAGTGGGATGACGGCATTATCTTTGATGTGGATGATCCGGACTTTTGCTCCGGACCCCCGGCAGTCATTATTGACAAGTTGACAACAGCCACAAATAGCTGCGCTGCTGCGTTAAGGAATTTAAATTTTATTGGTAAGCTTGATTCAATTATGATTATCAGCAGCAAACCATCAATTGTTCAAATCTTCCTTATTATATAATATTTATGTATGTATGTATGATTGCCCTCATTCCATATTCATTGTCAAATAACAGCATCAATTTATATTTTCAAAAGTTTATCAGTTGAAGAAGTTCAAATTTAATATCCTAATCATATAAAAAATATGTATAAATGATATAAATATGTACATCATTTGTATCCCCTATTTTCAATAGTGTATCAGTTGATTAACTGCAACTGTTAAACATCTACTAACTAAAAATAGAAGCAATATGTACTTAATCATATATTCCTGTTGGAATGAATTGCCATGCAAATAATAAATTAAGTTATTTATAGATACAGCAGGAATATCATAAAGATGTTATGCAAACAGACTAATATTAGCAGACGTTGATAATTGGAACGTGTTGGCTATTCGACTTATTTATAGTCTAGACGAGCCGAGCTCTGCCTACCTATGATTCTATAAATATTTACGATCGTCCAATCGGCCATTCTACTGATAGAATAACAGGCCTCAAACTCGGACTGGAAACTTTTTTATTCGCAATGTTTGTCATTGCGAAGACGGCGCTGACTGGCAGTTAGTAATGTGTTATCAGCTGCGTTATTTTCCAATCGCTCGCTAATTAACAGGTGCGTGGGCGTGGCCCAGTAAACACACGTACGTACGTCAACGTATGGCAGACATATATATATATATTTATATATATAGTATATGTATAATCATATTGCGTCCCTGTGCTCTTTGTGCGACCCACTTGCAATTTTTATTTTTTTTGTACATACAGATGATTGAGCGGAAACAGGCGCACACTTTTATTAACATCAATTGGCAGCGATAGTTAGCTTTATCGCTCAAATGGGTCGCCCCGCCATAAAATATATAATTCCAAATGCTGGGCCATCAATTTATATTAGATCACTTTGTTTCTGAATGCAACTGTAATCGATAATGATATAATCGATGTCTGCTTATTTTTAGCTCAAGTTTCTAAAATTATAAAGAAATCGATTAAATGGAGTGGCAAAGGAATGAATTGCTTTACAAATGAAATCCATCAAAATGTGTTTGTCATGATGATCAAGATCTTAAGTCACAGCTTGTCACTCGCTAAATATCGATTGCAAATGTAGTTCCCTTTTGAAAGTCATACAAACTGGCGAAATAGTTATAATTCCTCGAAGTTGTGCCAATTTATATTGGATCACTTTGTATCGAAATAAAATAATCGATGTCTGCTTATTTTTAGCTTCAGTTTCTAAATTTAAAACCGACATCAATCATATGAGAAAATAATGAATTGCTTTATAATGACATCCATTACTGATCAGAAGTAGTTGTCATTTCTGGAAATAATATTAATTTCTGATCGTCCACTATTTATATGTATATGTTTATGCGGTCGGAACTGACTGCCTTAAAGTGTTACGCATTTCTAATTCGCTTTATAAAAAAATGCTACACCCACTGAGCATCCGTCAAATTATGTGAATGGGGCCTTTACCGGCGCTGAAAAACATGTTGTGTGCTAATTGTTGTGTCTGCCTTTGGGTTTATCTGCGATCTGATTAACCATATAAACAAAGCGTGCGTCTGCTTTATTCACACGTTTCTGATGTCGCATTAGATTTATGAAAGACACGCGTTTCTCATGTGACTTGTTCCACCAAACGTTGACGACTCTATCAGCAGTAGTTGCTCTCCTGTGCCCTGGTCACCCGTAGAAATTGTGCAAACTTTTAGCACATTTGTTTTTTTTTTTTTTGTTTAAACGCGCAATTGCGTGTGTTACTGCAAAGTCCATTGTTTGTTATTTTATTTTAGTTTAATTTAAGTCGACACGTGTAAATCGTTTAGGAAACTTACAAGCCGGCAATTGGACTAATCGGCCACGTTGTTCTTGCGTGTCAAAAGCTGACAGCTGAACAGGAAAGTAAAGGGAAATTGCTTACAATATAGCAATATGTTTTCGAATCTGGTTTGTTGCTGTTTATAAGGCACAAAGTTTACAGAAAACTATACAAATAAATAAACATTTAATATTAACATAACCCTCAACCCCAAAAAAGAAAAAGAGAATCAAATTATAATTCATTTGGAAATTTTGCAGCGATATCAGAGCACATCTGAGTCAAAATAAATACGGTCTTGAATGTTATTGAAATAATTATTATCGCATCTACACTATAAATATTTAGATAGGATTTAACGTGTATTACTTAACCCTTAGCTAGAGGTTATTGCATAAGCCTTGAGAAACAGAAGTCTTACGATTGTTTGCCTTAGAGTCAGATTTCAAATAAGTAGGAAAGCGACTCGTGCCACTATATCTTTATAATATTATATGTGCATATAATATAACTTTTATCGTCAGTTCGTTAAAACACATGTAATAAACATTGAACAGAATGCTATCATACATTTCCAAGTATTTCGTATAAAGAGAGGCTTTGCACTTCTATTGAAATCTGGTGTATTGGTTTAGACTTAAGATTCTATAAATGAGCACTTTAATGTTTTAGCAATGAGTCAACGATTTGGTGCTCTTATGCTGGTCTTTCCCAATGTAATTACCTTATCTTTATAATTAGACTCGTCCCTTATCGTATACATTGCGTGATCATGATTTGCATTTTATCTTTGCACTCTCACTAATTAATGAATCACTTGAATCACAGACACAACAACAACATTTGCTTACAGAATATCACTCACTTACATCATTAGTCTGTCTACGATTTGCTCGATGATCGGCGACAGACATTGACCTCCCCCCACTCCATCGTTATTGCCGTCTCGATTGTCATTCGTTAAAAAACTGCACAGAACTGCACTTGGTGCCAAAGTTTTTATTCCCATGAGTTTTTTTCCTCCCCATTTTTTTTTTTTTTGCTGTTTGTTTGCTTACATAAAATTTTGCTTATTAAAACGACAAACGTAATGACAAATTTTAAAAATAAAATCGTTTTCAATTTCGCACTACTACCCCGCAGCCAGCCCGCCTCTCTGCCTCCCACTTATCCCTTGCTCCTTCGTGGTGTGTCTGGTTGATTGTGCATGCGAAATTGTTTCGCCGTTTTTTTTTAATGTTTTTTATGTTCCCATGCTCATTATAGACAAAAGCAAATTGTATGCCACGCGCAGACTATTTATACCCCATGTTTGAGGCAGACGCAGCATATACATTATAAGGAATTAATATGTTACATTCAGAGTTACCTAAGAATCCAGATCTAATCAGTTTTAACAGACAACTACTACGGAAGGAAATAACCGGAAAAAACCAGGTAGTGCTTAACAATTTCTTTATTTACTTTATATTATTATTATTATTATACTTTCGCATTTTGCTTTCAAGTAATTCAGCGAAAAAATGTAGTGTTAAATACAAATAAATATTTTTCCGCTCAGACACATCATATTTGTATTTGATAGTAACAGATTTGTTTGGGAAAATATACGGTGTTATTAATTTGCACTCGATATTCATTTCAATTACGAATATTATGTATTTGCATTTGGATATCAACTGAATAACAATCGGATAAAATCGAATACTTAACAAGTAAATATCAAATAGCTAAGCATAAGCTGTCAAATGTTTATGTTTTTTCCATGGCAGATTGCATAGTTATTTATTTACTTTAACAACTGGCAATGACCAGTTCACAAGTGGAATGTAGTGTAAAATTGTTTAACTGAATCACCAAGTATGGTATATGGTATGGATTAGTCATATATACCTGCAGTGCTTTTAATAGATAGACTCTTTGAAATTTTTTATCTGATTATTTACAATGCGCATATTCATTTATTTTTTTATTTTTTTTGCCCACATCTCATTTCATGCACACGTAACTTAATTGGCTTACATAAGTGTACTGAGAACTCCAAACCGATTCTACTGTAAACCACTAAGTTATTCAAAAATCTACACCTTGAGCTGTACTTAAAACTTGGCTACTGGGTAACGTTTAGTTAAGCATTGTTGCCCGCCGTGTTTTTAGATTATTTTTTTTTTTTTTTGCTCAAATTTGGTTTATTGAAATGTTGCCGACATCATCATCACACAAAGTATATGACACGAAGGGGGGCAACAGCCTCGCCCGCTGTCTCAGTCTCGGCTCAGGCCGTCCCGACTTGACTTCTGTGTTGTTATTATTGTTGTTGTGGTTATTACTTTGAAGTAGCTGATAAGCTGTCATGTCCACGCGTCGCCTCACATTCAAAAAAAAAAATAATAATAATACAAATAAAATAAATTTTTTTGAATTTGCAATTCGATGATTGAGTTTGACCTTTTTGTCGCCTGTTTCATACGTATATATATATACATATGTATATATAATGGGAGGATAGGTGGCATGATGCGCTTTTGATTCGTAATACAAATTGGCGCCAGTTGAGAGGCTGTCTGTCTGTCTCAAAGCTCTAACCGATTCGTTTGGCTGACAGCTGGTAAAAACCTCAACGTTGGTGTTACTTGAGCCGCCGCTGATTTGGCTGCCTTCTAATGCCTCGGACGTCGAGTGTCAGTGGAACGTGCGCAAATGTGGTTCATATGAAACCACTTGGCATTCACAGTGGCTCAGGGCTGGGACACAGTTTAAACTGCAGGTCAGTCAACAACGCATTCTTTACAATATAGTATATTATATATATATATACATATATATATATATATATATATATATATATATATATATATGCTACATGTATACAATACTATATGCTACATATTGATTTCCATTTAAATTGCGCTTCATTCATTCATTTCATTGCAGCGCTTCATTGTTTTATCAATTTACAATTTTAACACACACACACTGACTGTATCGTGTGACGAGCAATGAGAAACGACTACGACCATTATTTAGTAGCAATCGGTTTAAACTGGAAACTTAACTCACAGCTCAGTCAGTTCTCCCTCTTTCCCTTCGTGCCTCTCTTTCTCTCATTGTC